CCGATGCAGGGGACACGGGTTCGTGCCCCAGTCCGGGGGGATCCCGCGTGCCGTGGAGCGGCTGGGCCCGTGAGCCATGGCCGCTGGGCCTGCACGTCCGGAGCCTGTGCTCCGCGACGGGAGAGGCCACAACAGTGAGAGGCCCTCGTATTGCAAAAAAAAAAAAAAAAAATCATAGACAAGATAATGTCATTTCTTTGATCAACATTCCTCAGTGGCTCCCATGTCACTCAGAGCAGGGCCCGGAGGGGCTGAGCCCTGACCTCTGGCTCCTCTTCCGCCTGTCATTGCCCCCTTGCCGTCCCCTGCGTTTAGAATGTTCTTCACTTGAACTGCATCCTTGAGACTGGCTCCTTCACCTCCTTCAAGTCTGGGCTCAAAGGCCACCTCCCGGACGGACCCTTTCCTGGTCCCCTCGCTTCCCATCTCACGCCCCTCCCCGCCCCTCCTCCCTGCTCTGCTTCTGGCCCGTCCGCTCCCCACAATGTGACAGACCACAGTGGACGTATCTGTCTGTGGTCTGCTGCCCTTTGCTGGAGTGTAACCCGGAGTGTGTTGTGCTTTGTATCTAGCACGGTGCCTGGCAAGGGTGGCCCAGAGTGTGAGCTGCGAGGAGCTCACCGTGAGGACGCATCCCCATTTCACAGCAGGGGGATGCTGGAGTCAAGCTCCCTGCCAGCCTCCCTCCACTGCCCAGGCAGGAGGTGCCCAGGTGGGCACTGCTCTCCCCACCTCAGAGTGAACTCACCTCCCCCGTTTTTGTAGCAGAGGTAGGGAAACCTCCAGACGTTGCCCAGCCCGATAATCTCCCCGGCCACGGACAGCACGAACTCCATCTTGTTGCTCCACTGGCCCCGCTCCTTCACCTGGTCCTTGACCTCCTGGTCCAACTTCTCTCCCTCCTCAGGGACCCAGGAGACCACAGAAGGCCCATCCTTGGGAACTGCCACTTTTCTGTCGTCTGCAGCCATGGACTGGCTGGGAGGCCACAGAGGGGAGTGGGCAGGACGGCAGGAGAGGCGTGGCCTGCGGGGACAAGAAGGAATGAGCTGGGCAGCCCCAAGGATGCCCGTCACCCCCGCTCTCTCCATCCTAACCTTTCATTATTGCTGGAATGCTGTCGAATACTGGCAGACTATTGATTTTCCTCCCAAATTCTTGATATTTACACCTAAAGTTACACTTTGCTCTCACAGCTCTGAGAACAAACAGGGAGCAGTTTGTTCTTAGTTTGCCCATTTTGCAGATGGAAAAATCCAGGCCTTGACAGGTGAAGTGACTTGCCTGAGACCATTCAGGACTAGATGGGGATTGAAACCCAAGCTCGGGGACTCTTATTCCAAGTCTCTTCTGATCTTCACAGTCAGCTGCTGTCCCCGCTGGCCCTTCTGCCCGGCTGCTCAGTGTCAGTGGGTGTCACCCGCCCAGCCTCCGGCCTCCAGGCCAGAAGGGATCAAAGGCTGTCAGGGGTAACAGGAGGTCAAAGGGCAGGTGTGGCCCGGTAACTGCATGGTCTTCCCTGGGCCAGCTGTGTGCTCGTAGCTGTGCCGGCATGACCGATGGCCTCTGGGTAAACATGGGAGCCAGCTAAGTCCGGGCATCTGATTGGGAGAGCAGAGGAGGGTGGGGCACAAGGCCAGGTCGGGACAGGAGCGGCCTTCGAGGGGACCCTGGCTCTTGAATCTCTGTCCTGAGAGCAGGCGGGGGTTCTGGTGGCAGAAGTGGCCACCAGAGGGACCCTCACTTGGGCGCTCACCTCCTGATGCGAGCAGTCCCTTCAAGGGAGACCCAGAAGTGACTGCTCACCACGGCAGGTCACTGCCCTTCCCAACTTCCTGCCCTCCTAAAGAGCAGCCACTCTGCTCTACCCTGTCCCTCTTGTGGGCTGTTTATCTGCTGCCAGGAGATAGACTGATGCGTGCTCTATCCAGAATCCTTGCTGGCCTTCCCTCCCCACACTCCGCCACCTCCACTCTTGTTTCTGCCAGGAAGACGTGCCGGGCTGCCGAAGGATCCTCTCCCCCAGGCCCCCCGCCTCTGCCTCCAAGGGGCAGTGGGGAACCAAAGTGACCAGGAGCTACCAAGGGCTCTGCTCCTCCAAGTTTCTAGAGAAACACAAGGGATTCTTTTTATTAAAAGAAGAGTCTGTGTTTACTTGTTAGTCCTTTTAACCCAGGCAACAACCCAAGCCCAAGTCAGTTAGAAAGGTGTGGCAGGGCCATCTGAGGTTATGGAAATTTTTGAAGGTGACTTGGAGAGTGCAGGTTATCCCAGGAATGGGAAAGAATGTCGGGGTGAAACTCTGGTACTGGGACCTACTCGGAGGCTTCCGTGGCAAGGTCAGCCCAGGAGGGAAGGTGCGGAGAGAGGCACCCCGTGGAATCAAAGGCCTCACCCTCTGATATAAAGGAAGGGGCCGGGGAGGAAGGGAAGGAAAGAGAGCTCCAGGTTCAGAGAGATCAGCCACACCCCAGGGGCTTTGAGAACCAAGCCTCAGGTGGAAAGAACAGGGCGGTTTGGCCCCTGGGGACACCTGAACCAACTGTGGATACTGCTACAGAATTGCGGCTGGGGGACTCTGAGGACTGGCCCCTGAATCATTATCCAATGAATGAATGGACTCAAAAACATGGGTGAAGAAGCATCAAACAGGAGACCCAAGGTCTGGTCCAGACCTGGCTAGTAATAGTAGAAGTTAACGGGGGACTTCCCTGGTGGTCCAGAGGTTAAGACTCCACGCTTCCACTGCAGGGGGCACGGGTTCGATCCCTGGCTGGGGAACTAAGATCCCGCATGCTGCACAGCACGGCCAAAAAACCCCAAACAATAACAATAACAACAACAAAAAACTTGACTCCACTTCTTGTCCAACACCTGTTCCCCTCAAGATTGAGGGGTATCAGAGAAAAGGGAGGACTGAAACAGCATACCAGTCCGTGTCCCTGTCCTTTGAAGTAAAAGCCTTAAAAAAAAAAAAGAAGTTGACATTTGAGTCAGCACTGTGCTGAAAACATACACATCCTTACATGCATTATTGTTTCATCTTCATAAAAATATTTGAAGAATGACTATTAACTCCGTTTTATAAATGAGGAAATGAAGCCCAGAGAGATTAGGGAACAGGCCCTGACACCCCCAGGTGCTCAGTAAACTATTTTTGAATGGTTTGAACAAACTTACCAGTGCAGTAACTGGGGAGCTGAGCGGCCACGTTGCTGTGTGACCTTAGGCAAATCACACCTCCTCTCTGGGCTTTAAGTCTCCCTGAAAGAGAGAATGACCCCTACTCAACTGTGGTGTTGGGAGGGCAGGGCATACGCATGAGATCCATAAAAGACAAGGAGAGATACTGCCTTTGCTCGCCAAGCCATCGCGTAGCCCAGCTCGGGGCCCGAGCATAGGGTCACCAATGGGGTGGCCAGGAGACAAGCCTCACTGTCCCCAGACCAGAGGCAGCTGTTTCAGGGCCAAGTTGTCCTCAACAGCTGGAGTGGGGGAGACCCACCTGGGAAAGGAGTAAATGAAGGGAAAGCCAGAGGGGAACACAGGCTGAGGAAGCAAAGCCCAGAGCCCAGGGTGGGCGCAGGATTTGGGAGAAGAGAACGCAGATGAGCTGATCTTCACGTGACAAGTTTGTTCTTTTTCAAAAAGGCTGTTGAGAGGAGCATGATTTATGGGTAAGAGTGAAAAACCGGAATGGCAGAATGAAAGCAAGAGCATGTGAAAAGGAAAGCTGGCCCAGGGCCATGGCAAGTCAAGGGGAAACAGGCTTACCTTACAGCAAGCGGGACTCAAGTTAGACTCAAGGAAGAACTTTCCAGGGGGACGTTAGACATAAAAGCTGTACTGAGCTCTCCTTTTGGGGGTTGAAGGCCAAAGGAGAGCACCCCACCCTCCTGCCCCCCTCCCTGCCCCCCTCTACTGTGCCCTTCTACCCCCGGCCCGTTTGCCAGGAATACTTAAACACAGTGCTATCCTCAGTCACGATGACTTTCAGAAGTCTCCACTGTCCCGAGGGTTCACGCCAGCTCTCTCACCTCTCCAACCCCTAGCACCAGCTGCCCTGCTGCCCATCTGCTCTGCTAAGCTGGGGCAGGGTGTGGGGCAGCCTGGACCTCACCACACGCCAGTGCTCTCCAGAAGCAGAGGAAACCTTCAGGAGGCTGACAAGCCCCAAATTCACTGTTTTCAGGGTCTGGGCAGGTAGGCGGAGGAGCGGAAACAGGTGGAAATGCTGCTGCCCTCCACGCGTCCCCGGGGGCAGCGGCCCAGGCCCTGGACGTCCCAGCCCCACTTCAGCCCACACCCACATACCAGCTCCCCGTTCAGCACACACACTGTTGCCGCTCCCGTCACGTCCCCTTGCACACACATACCTGTGTGCACAACACCAAAACATGACCCCCGTCGAGTCCTTCACACCCCGTGGGCCGCCCGCACCTCCGATGCCCCCCGGGGCACAGGCCGCCCTGCCGTCCGCACCCCGGTGTGGAGCCCACGGGGAGGCTGACGGGTCTGGCCCCTCTGCTGGCCGCTTCCTTCCCAGCTGCGGGGCACCGTCTGTCTCCCCCTCCTCTCGCTCTCTGGCCCGGGTCGCTCCTCTCTCCCCCGCTCCCTGGAGCCAGCCCCCTCCCCGTCTCAGGACTTTCCGCCAGCCAGGCTTGTCCCTGAGCAGCTCAGATGCTGCAGAGGAGCTGGGGTGACCCCCTTGTCCCAGGATTCCCCAACACCAGACTTCCCTCTGGCCCCGCTCACTGCACGGACACACACTGCCACCCAGTCCCCCTCCCAGGTGTCGCCCCACCCACCCACCCCGCACCCTCTGCGAGGAGCTCACCTCCTCCCGTCTGGCTCCCCGGGTCCCGCAAGCCTCGAGGCCCCAACAGAGTCCCAGGGAAGCCGCTAGGAGACCCGACCTGAAAGGGAAACTGTCCCCCACCTTCGCTCCTTCTCTGCCTCCCAGCTCAGAATCCCATCCAGTCGTGGTCCTGGGACCCCCAGACAGAAAGCGACTCGTGTGTGTGTGTGTGTGTGTGTCTGGGCACACTCGAGTGTGAGCTGGTGTACTGGGAAGTGGAGGGGCAGAGAAATACCACAGCAGCAGGAGGGACTGAGGCCAAAAGTTTGTGAGCCAGGATTACAACACCCAAGCTCAGGAAGTCAAGTCCTCTGTCCCCAGCCCCTCCCCACCTCCCTCCCGGCCAGAGCTCCCCCATGGGCGGGCGCTGTCCCAAGACGACCCCCCAGAGCTGGGCTCGGAGACTCACGCCCACCTCGTCTCCCCACCTTTGCCCCTTGTCCCTCCCCGCCCATCTCACCGTGCCCCCTCTGGCGCTGGCTCCTTTTCCTCCGGTGGGCACAGCCCTCTCTCACCGGGGCGGTAGGATGGGCACCACCAACAGCCAGGCTGGAAGCTGAGATCTCGGGAGGGGAACTGGCCTCGCTGACGAGGGGGTGGGAGGAGGTGAATCACTGCTGGACTTTTCCACAAGTACCTGCCCTCTGTGGTTTCAAAGCAAGGCTCTGGACCTTCACAGCCACAACCCTCTTCCTTGGGATTTTCCTAGAGAAGGTGCCAGAACACACCTCAAGAACACCTCAGGTTTGCAGGTAGACAGGCCTGGGTTTGACGCCTCCTTTGTCTGTCGGCCAGACAAGCATCTGAGCCTCTGTCTATCGACCCATCAAGGGTGCGTGACAACACCTACTTCACAGAGATGCTGGGAGGGCGAAAGGCAATCTGGGAGACTGCTTAGCGTGTTGTCGGTGCTTCAGGGCACTTGGTGATGTTTGCTGAAGGGTCGTCTGGAAGCAGGGGCTGGGATGCTGGAGTGTCCGAGGCAGCAGTGACGATGCTCTGGGGACCTCTGGGCACTCAGCACACAGCTGGGACTTGTCTGATTGCCTGATGGCCATCAGTGGTGAACTGGTACTTGTTGAATAAATATCTGTGTCCCCACTACGTGCCCGGTGAGCTTCTCCAGAACGGGGTCCTCATCGCTGTTTCTGAGATGTCCTCACGGTGCTCATACAGGACCGTCCGGGGCCATTCACTCAGGACAGACAGTGCCCCCTTCCGGATAATAAAGACGCTTCTTCGGGCCCAGGTGGTGGGGGGAGGAGAAGCTGTGAGGAGAAAGGGAAATTTCCCTTTGCCTGTTCCTCCCCTGTGTGTCCTAGAACTTCCCCGCAGGGCTGGGGTGTGAAGCGCGAGTCTCAGTCTGTAGTTTTCCATCGAGCACCCCCCACTCAGTGTCTCAGGCCCCTCTCAGCATCTCCCTGAGGCTCCCCGTGGAGAGACTACCAGAACAATCCAGCAAGCCAGGCAGGCTGGGGCGGAGAAGGGCTGTGGTCCCGGCCGAATTCACACTCTGTTTCCCCTGTGCTCGGCGGGCATGGAGTGATTGAGTTGCTGCAATGCCCTGTCCCTGTCCCCACCGTGTGTCAACTGTACAGCTCGCTGCAGAGGGGTACCAAAGTCCGTGTGATTGCCTGGCTGCAGTCACTCAGAACAGAAGACCCAGCCTCTCCGGGAAGGGGCGCCAGAGGGAGGAAAACCAGGCTGGGCAGAGGGTGAATTTCCTAGCTCTGTCATTCAGTCAAAAATGTTACTTCACGCCTACAGTGTGTGGGGCTTTTCTGCGAGGACCTGGGGATACACATGTCACCTCCCCTCCACCTCACGAGAGAAGAGCTGCCGTGTTTGACCTCGCCTCCCTCTAACACCCGAACTCCCTCACTCAAGCCCACCCAACCCCGCAGCTTCAGCCCCCACTGGGCATTCAGAACAACTGGTGAACTCTTGGGGGCAGGAGACCCCATTTTACAACAGGTAGGGCTCCCTAAGTTACCTGGAAAGCCTGCCTAAGACCGGCCTGTTTCCATACTGGGGAGGGCCCAGAGTCAAGATGAAATAATGAATCCGTTATCTTGCTGCAGTGAAACCCGTCGAATGTTCTCCTCACCACAGTCATCTTCTAACCCGTGCATACTTTTAGAAGGCCTGGCGTAGAAGGAGCCTAGTTCCTAAGCACCTAACTCAGCCTAGGTGCTTTACATGTCACACCATTTTGTCCTCACAAGAACCTTGAAATGTAGGAATTATTAGCCCATTTTACAGATGAGAAAACTGGGGCAAATAGAAGCTAAATGATGTGTCCTAAGGCTTCATTTACTGGTGGTAAATGAGGGAGCTGGGATTTGAAGCTGGGCCTCTTGGCTCCAAAAATCTTTGCTTGTTCCACTGCAGCAAACTGTTTCCCAGACCAGGAGTATCTAGAGGGCAGGGGTCACTTTTCATAATTCTTTGTTTCTGCCTCTAGCATTTAATATAGTGCTGGCTCAGAGTAGGCATTTGGATGGATGATGGAGGGATGGAGGGATGGAGGGATGGAAGGATGGATAGAAGGAAGGAAGGAAGGATGGATGGATGGATGGATGCAACTTGAGGGAAATTTTGATTTCAGTCTTCCCTCTTCTGAAAGGGCATTGCTCTCCCAAAAACAGGGGATAGACTAGGGCTTGGAAGGACTCATGTCTTGCTTTTGTTGGACAAAACTGCTGGTGCTGAGCAAGACTCCCAGGCCACAGGACGCAGGTTCTTTTAGCTCCGCCTCTCTCTTGCCTCCTAGCAAAAATGCTTAGTTAATAAATGTGTAGCCTTCTTTTTGGGGCCTAATGCAACCTGATGCCTGCGGCTGGGGAATCCAGGGGAAGCAAGGATGTCGCTGAGCTCTTTCTGGGCTTTTCTGTTTCATTGACAGCCCAATGCAGGGGTGGGGGGAGGGTGGAATCATGGAAAATAGGGTGGATTTGCTTGAAATATGTCCCCAAGGCAGCTGTTCCTACACCCTCCACTGGACTCTAACAACACAATGATGTAAATACTACTATTCCCATTTTATAGAGGAGCAAATTAAGGATCGGAGCGATGAACTTGCCCAAGGTCACAGAGCACATAGACCTAAACCAGGCCTGCCAGCCTCCGTAAAAGGGTACGCCTGGCAGACTGTGGTGTCTGGGTCTATGCACGTTCATCTGAGGGGAGTGAGGGACTGTGTGTGTGCACGTGTGTGGATCTGAGACCTGGGTGTGATCTGAGCACGGGCTGAGGTCTGAGGCTCCACGGCAGCCTGACGGGTTCAGTGCCCCCTCCATGGCTCCCCAATCTCCACAGGCTCCAGTCCTAACTCTCCGGGTACCGCTGCGCTCCTCTCTCCTTCCAGCTATCACTTGAACTGAGGCTCTATGCCTGCCTCACAAGAACCTTGAAATGTTGTTAGCCCATTTTACAGATGAGGAAATTCGGGTGAACAGAAGCTAAATGATGTGTCCTAAGGTCTTCTTCTCTGACAGGTGTGGCCTCTAGACAAAGGGCTCCCCTTCCTTTTCTGTCTTCTTCCTCTGGGACCTGCAGGATCTGAATCTGCCCTTCCAGGCAGAGCTCCAGTAAAGGGGACAGAAAGCGGCCCCGCCCCCACTACCCCTTCGAGGGGGTAAAGCCACGTCTGGGTATTTCTGCTGCCGTTCCCTGACGTGACCCCTGGCTTTTAGAGCAGCTCCCGATCAGCCATCCCCTCACTGGTCTCATGACCTCACCGTTGGGCTCTCACACCCATGACCCCATCCAGCCCTACAACAAACCCGTGTGTGGGCGGGGTGCCCAGTATTACCTCCATCTGCAAAAAAAGAAGACCTGAATTCCACCAAGAAACACAGCAGGTCCGAGGCCGGTGACGACTAGAAGCTGTATCTCCTGATCCCGGTGCCAGCGGGTCACTTTCACACTGTATCACGCCGCCAACGAAGCTCCGAAATAGGGTTCAAACCACCGTGACTGAACTGCTCACCCCCCTCCCTGGGCCTAGCAGATCCCTGCAACTTTGCTAGGATGGAGAGAGAGACATACCTCTGCCTCAGAACAGCCTTCCCAGACCCCCAACCCTAGACCCTCAGGATCCTTCCCACGCCCACTTATTCTTTCTGAGACCTTGCTTTTCTTCCATAGCGTTTGTCATCCTTTGTCCTTCAAGAGATGTATCTATTTTTGCTCCTCGTGAATCCTGAGCACAGCACCATGCAGTAGGTGTCCTGGAAATGTCCTCAGATGGGTGGAGACGCCAGGTGTGGGACCTCGAGGCCCACACATTTCTCTAGCAGACTTATTTCTTCCATCTTAGGACTGCCTTGCTACTGGCACACTGGGGGGTGCCCAGCCACTGTCCAGGAAGGAACCACCAAGGCCAACACACAGCAGGGCTGCTGTCACCGATTTTAATAAACTCTCCCAACGGCGAAGAATCAAAACCTGAAGACTTCGGTGCATTTTCCCACTAGCTGACTCGTAAGAAAATCGCCCAGGAAATGCCCTGCACCTCCCAGGAACAGCTCGGGAAGAAGAGCTACATGAACAGAGGTGGGGACACAGGAAGACATTTGGGGGGAAGGGCTGCTGTGTGTCCCCGCTCCCCCGTGGGCCCCGGACACACGCGCCCGCTCCAGCTCCCGGCAGCTGCCCAGAGCCAGGCTGCGGCGCACGCCTGTGGGAGCCGGGGGCGGGGGGGGGGGGCGGACGCCAAGGCCAGACCCGCTGACCCCGACGTCGCACAGGCTCTGCCTCCCACCTGGCTCCTCTCTGGGCGCATCTGCGCGCTCAGGCCCCGCAGCCGAGCGGAGGTCCCCGCAGTGCGCCGCCATCGTGGCCGCGCCGGGGCTGCCGCATCCGCATCTATCCATGCTCCTTCCGAGCGGAGCAGCGTGGTGGTCCCGAGGCAGCGGCTCCCTCTTCTGGCCGAGCCGGGTAGTGCCCTGCTCCGCCCGCGGTCCCTGCTGTCCCGCTCTCGTACCCCTGACACCAAGCCCCTGGCGGGCGCACAGAGTTTGCACAGGCGAGGTCAACGCAAGGAGACGGCAGGGGAAATCGGGCAGGAAGAAGCCCAGCCGCTCTCCTCCTCCTTCCTCCAGCGGGGGCTCAGGTGCCTCCTCCTTCTCCCCTCCATCGCCTTTTATTTTTTTTTAATTAACTGATTTATTTATTTTTGGCTGCGTTGGGTCTTCGTTGCTGCGCACGGGCTTTCTCTAGTTGTGGCGAGCGGGGGCTACTCTTTGCTGTGGTGCACGGGCTTCTCATTGCGGTGGCTTCTCTTGTTGCTGAGCACGGGCTCTAGGCGCGCGGGCTTCAGTAGTTGTGGCACGAGGGCTCAGTAGTTGTGGCTCACAGGGTCTAGAGCACAGGCTCAGTAGTTGTGGCTCGCGGTTTCTAGAGCGCAGGCTCAGTAGTTGCGGTGCACGGGCTTAGTTGCTCCGCGGCATGTGGGATCTTCCCGGACCAGGGCTCGAAGCCGTGTCCCCTGCATTGGCAGGCGGACTCTTAACCACTGCGCCACCAGGGAAGTCCCTAAAAGCCCCACTTTAAAGTGAGGAGGTGGGCAAGGCAGCAAGGCGGGGGTGGGGTGGGGCAGAAACCAAGCGGAACTGCTCGCAGCTGGTGGGAAGAACGTGGATTTAATGGAATGAAGGGCGCCAAACAGACCTCTCCCGCCCCGCCCCCGCCTGCAGCCTCACCCCACCTCCCAAGGCCCCTCTCAAAGGGGATGCTCTTGATCCTGGCCCTTCACACCTGTCCAGCCACCCCTGGAGCAGGGAAGTTGGGGTGGGAGATGCCCAGCTCAGAGGTGGATTCCAGCATGTCCCCTCTTATCTTGTCTACCCCGGGTGGTGTGGGGCAGAGAAGCACAGCAGGGCTGCTTCTGTGCCTTCCTTCTGCAACTGTCCCCACAGCCAGGCTCACTGGCCCCTTGTCCCAGGGCCTGCCCCCTAGCAGTGAGACTCCAGTTCCGACGTCCTGGGCGTAGCCGGGGCAGAGGGTTCCGCTCGGGCCCACTGGGGCAGGTCCTCAGCTGGGCACATGAGCTGGCGAACTCTCTGCAAGCAGAGTGGAGGGGTCCGTCATGAGCCGGAGAGGGGGCAAGTCTGCCAGCGTCCCTCATCGCTGCCTCCCCAGAGGTGCCAAACCTGCTCTCCAGGTGCCAACACCCTTACCACAGCAGTGTCTTGGAGGCATCCTGTCTCTTCCTGAGACTGCTCAGCACTCCCTCTGTCCCTCTGACCCCACACCAGGGACCCTGGCCCTCCTGTGTGCCAGCTTCTACCCAGGCAGGCAGCCACCTGCCAACAAGGGGACCCCAGCTCATCCTCTGACTGCTTTCCTCCCCACCAGCTCCCTACCTCTCTGAAAGAGCCCTTGAGGGTGCTGAGTTTGTAGCAGCTCCAGGCGGGAATGCAGATCATGGAGGAGAGAGCCAGGAGCCAGCCCAGGGCATCGCCCCACCACGGGTACAGGTACTTCTTGTTGTAGGTCAGTGGGGTGTACTTGATCAGGGAGGACAGGAAGGTGGCCTGAGGGTGAGAGTAGAAGAGACGCGGCTGGGGGAGCATGGGTCCCCCCGACCAGCTGGGCCAACCTGCCTCCGAACTCCATCCACATCTGCTCCAAGTCCACACCCCCAGGAGGTACTTCCGGGGCGCCCACCTCGTCCCTCCAGGGTCCCTGTGCCCCTGGGCATCCTCAACTGGGACATGGCTCTGTGCCTGGCCGTGAGCACCTGGAGGGCAGGGCTCACGCCTGGGTCGCCCCGGCCTCATCGTACTTGGCACACAGTGGGTGCTGCTGACACAGGTAAAGCCAGAGCGGCAGTGCTCAGTGGCTCAGGCCCAGACTCCGGAGCCAAGCTGCCTGCGCTTGAGCCCCAGCTCTCGGCCACCTTCCAGCTCGGGTGAACTGCTTAACCTCTGGGGCTTCCGTTTCACCTGAAAAGTGAATACAATGGTAATTCTTACTTCGTGGGGTTCTTGTGAGGATTGACCGGGTTAAACGCGTAAAGCATTTGGTACCCGGCAGGATAAGTGCTCTGGAACTGCACGTTATCTCGGTGCTTATCGGTATTGTTCTCAGCAGCCCGATGCACCTGCCGCATTAGACTCACACTGTGGGGCGGAGTCCGACAGCCCTGGCCCTGTTTATCCTTCTGTGAAACGGAAAGGAAGAATCTATCCTGCTGGCATTTTCTAGAACCCAACAGGAGGATGAATGAAACTTTTAAATGATTTTCAATGCCCACGGATAAGTACCTTCTAGGGCTATGGCCCGTCTACCCTTCTGCTCTACCATCTCTCTCCCTTCATCTGGCTTTCCTCCCGGAGGTCATCGTTTTTCTGTCTTTTTTTTTTGCGGTACGCGGGCCTCTCACTGTTGTGGCCTCTCCCACTGCGGAGCACAGGCTCCGGACGCGCAGGCTCAGCGGCCATGGCTCACGGGCCCAGCCGCTCCGCGGCATGTGGGATCTTCCCGGACCGGGGCACGAACCCATGTCCCCTGCATCGGCAGGCGGACTCTCAACCACTGCGCCACCAGGGAAGCCCCCCGGAGGTTATCTTACTGTGCACACAGCCGGTGTGAGGAAGAGCCAACAGTATTTGATAAGGGGCCACGGCCTGTACCCAATCATGTCTTCAATGTTGTCATAGAAGCGCCCGGCACCTGCCACGAAGAAGGAAGGGGGAGAAAGGACATCCTTTAGCATCCAAAGCATCAGGATGGGGACCACACCAACCAGGAAGGGCAAGGACAGTGTGTAAAAGACATCGTGGCTGTCTTCTCCAATCCCTGCTGGGAGCAGACCCTTCCCTGGATGGAATTCGTAGGCATAAACAGCAGTGGGAAGAACTTGGCTTAGGCAAAGGCAGGAACTTTCTGATGATCAAGGTTGTTAAAGGCTGAAAAGCTCTGGGTAGGATGGGACACGGGCCCACCTGGGTGGCCCGGGAGCAGCCATCACCAGGAGGGTGGACAAGGCCGCCTCTGGAGGGCTTTTCCAATGGTAGCAATGTAGGTAGGATTCTTGAGATGTTTGAGGTTGGGAGGGAGAGAAGTCTGAGGAGAAGGTGGGTGTGAGCAGTGAGGTCTCTTTTTTGTCCGAGGGCCCTGGGAAGGACCACAGGAAGAGTCACTCACCGTAGGCCCACGCCACACAGAGGGACTCAAAGATGGCCACGAACAGGAGACACATGCCACTGGCTGCGTAGTAGTCAAAGAGCTGAAACACGTACATACCGCCCTGCCCGGGGGGAGGAGAGAGACAGAACTTTAGCCAGAGGAAACAGGCACCCTCGGGGCACGGAGCAGAGGTGGGGAGGGTCACAGGAGTCAGAGATTAAGGGACAGTGTAGTTTGTAAGCTGTAAAGCACTCGGCAGACATGGGACAATAATAATGTTTGATTATTGTTTTTGGAAGGAAGATGCATGAAAGAGCCATTGTTAGCTCATCCCTGAGAACACGCAGGGGTTGACCCAAAAGTCCAGGACAGCGTGCATTTTTGGCAGAGGGTCAGGATAGGGGCCGCCATGGGTGTCATCAAGCTGACGAGCTCCATCTCCCTCCTCCCCTGAGACATCACTCAGAATGTCACCCACCCCAGGGTTCCCTTTCTGCCTTTGAAGTCTGTCCCTGGAACGTGGGTCAGCTGCCTGGGAACTCATGGGATCTTGCTGGAGAGGCGATTTTTCCCAGCCCAAAATTTCTATACCTCTCAGCTTCCGTGGAGCCAAAGCACCCCTCAGCCACGCCCAGAGCCAGGTGGTCAGTGTCTCCTGGGGTGGGAAAGGGCCAGGGCCCCCGGGCCCCGAAGCCCAGAAGGCGGTGACCTGAAACTACAGCAGCCTGCCCCCCCTGCCAGGTGGCAGTCACCCACCTGGGCTCTCCTACTCGCCGGGCCCCACCTGCAAGCCGCCCAGCCCCTCACCTCTGTGAGCATGACAAGCCCGACGAGGAAGGAGGTGACAGACACCCCCAGGATGAGGACCTCCCTCCGGTTCTTCTTGCGGAATACACCGGGGTACATGTCCACCAGCGCCGTCACCAGGCTTTCCACGCACACAAACTGGACGAGAGGGCGAAGAATTGGAGGGCAAGCGCCCTCACGAGAAGCTCCATCAACCAGCTGGCGCCTCGCTCCCGGGGCAGCCCTGCCAGCCTCCTGACAGCCCCGGAGCGGACCCACCCTCCAAAGCTCCCTTTGTTCCCGGGCAGGGCATCCGCACCTGACACTCGCCCAGCCCCCAGCTGTTCGCTGCTCACTGCCCCCAGCCCACACACACCACCGTCCCTCGGGCTCTGAGCGGCCACCTCTCAATACCTGGCTATCCAGTCCCAGGAGGACGACCATGAAGAAGAAGCAGCAGGCCCAGAGGGGTGAGAAAGGCAGCATCACCACAGCCCGGGGGTAGGCGATGAAGGCCAGACCAGGGCCTGCGGCGGGGAGAGAGGGACACGGCCCAGTGCCACCCCAAGGTGGGCTTCCCAGTGTGGGACACGGGACAGCGGAAGCCCCAGAGCTACCCCCCTGCACCGTCCCCACCCAGGAGAAGCCACCCAACCCTGACCCGGTCCCCAGTCTCCAAGGCATCGCCCACTGTTTTCTCACTGGCAGCAACAGAACCTAAAGGCTGTGAGTATTCTACAGGATATTGCAAAGAGAAGAGGAAGGGGGTCCGTCACCTGCATTTCTGTAAGTTCTACCTCACATCCTGAGGGTTCACTCTCCAGATCTATTGCCCCCAAACCAGAGCTTTCAAACTTACAAAGAGCTTGGGGGCCAGGCAGGCCGCGGACGCTTGTGAAGCCGCCCCAGTGTAAAAGGAGGGCGCGGCGGGGCCTGACGGACCTGGAGCCATCGCCCCCTTAAGGCAAGTGCTGTGTGGTCTCAGTAAAGTTCCAAAGAAAATACCTCCAAGACTAGATTGGGTCTGGGGCCACCGCCGGCCACCTCTGCTCCCCGAGCCTTTTCTGTCACCCTACAGCAAGTGAGCTGGCGCGAGTTTCAGAATACCCACGACACACATCCTCTCAGACACACTGTTGCCCTCAGCTGGCTCAAACGGCAGGAACAGGTCACATGCCAGCGCCGGGGGTCCTCGATAGGAAGCTTCCTTTGAAAGGAAGGGTATGACCGAGGGACCCGGGACAGTGGTCAGCTCCTCCGCCAGTCTCCCACGCTGCTGGGACCAGCCCCACGCACCAGCGAACACATGGCACCAAGCCTGGCACAGAGCTGTGCTTCGTAAAAGAGAAACACGATCGTTTTTAATAAGAACCAGCGATGTCAGTTTCCCGTTGCTCGGCACCCTGTGTGACGGGAGGAGCTTGTGAACCCCACGATCAAAATCATCTTGTTACAGGTGCAAGTGGGTGGTCCACAGGCGTGGGCGGCGAGCAAGGCAAACACCGGCCGCTTACCCAGATGGGGGATCCGTCTGTGATTTTATTTAAAAGCAAGAGCAGCACCGCGTGGGGGGAAGGCAGGCACTTAAAGGAGGAAACTCCACGTGCCGGGAGTTAACTTACCTCTGAGACACACGTTAAGGGGAACGAGACACGGCAGGATGCAGAACAATGTATAGAGCACGTTATCACTTGGTTGTTACGAGGTGTAAGAGACAGAAACAGCAATACGGACGCGTGTTTGAATGTGTACGTACAGATGTGTGTGTATTCTTTTTCTCATAAAAGCCTAAACTATTTCTGGAAGTAAAACCATGAACCTGGTAACACTGGTTGCTTCCAGGGCGAGGAGCTGGAGGCCAGGGTGCGGGGGACAGTGTTCCCTGCACACCCGTTCGCCTTTAGAAGCTGGAATTGCTGTTTAAGTCCATCCCAGGTCTCCCTGGGACGCAGCCACTGAGAGGTCACCCACAGTGTAGGTGACAATAGGAATGCCTGCAGATCCAGGCGGGCTGGTGAAGGTTCAAACAAAGCTCACAGAGTCCCCTGTCTTAGCCCCACCCCACCCCCCAAAACACCACCCACCTGACTCGGCCACCTCAGAGATGGGCACCCCCTGCTCCTGGGACATGAAGCCCAGGATGGAGAAGATGGCAAACCCGGCCACGAAGCTGGTGCCGCTGTTGAGGAAGCAGAGGGCGATGCAGTCCCTGCAGGCGGGGCGGGGAGGTGGGGACAGGAGGGTCAGAGGGGCAGCCAGTGCCTCAGGCCGGGACGCAGGAACCCCAGGTGACGCCGCCGGCCTGGCAGGGGCAGAGGGAACCCAAGGGGCTGGTTCTGTCCCCCCAACTCCATGGGCTCAGACTTGGACTAAACCCACGGTCATCCTGCAAGAATGAGACCCTAAGGAAGTAACAGAATCTAAACATTACCCATGGCCACACAGCTCCCCTTTCCCGTCACGCTGCCACTGCGCCTCCTGGGACACTACCCCTGTGACCCCGCGCATGCCGGTACGTTAATGGAGAGGAGAGGGGCACGGAGAACCCAAGCAACAGGTGCTCTGTACTCACCTAAATTCAATTTTGAAATGCATGATGTGATTTTGTTTAGCTAATACTAAAATTGGCTTAAATTCTCTGACATGAGCCAGGTGGGCCCGAGGGAACCACAGGGAGGGGATTCAGTGTTTGCTGGGGCGCAGGTACAGAGCACACGGGACCAGGCTCTGTATGATGTCACTCCCGAGCTGGGTTGCTTGCACACCTGTGCCCACTGCCCTCTACATTAGCCCCAGGCTGGGCCCTGCTGGGGGTTCCCGGCCACCCATCACCGTCCCGTCCTGGGGGAAGCAATCCCTCGCCCGTGCTGCCACTGGCTCCTCTCACCACCTGGCAGCCCTGGGGGTTGGAAAATGGCGTGAAGGCAGGTGGGGCGTAGGGAAATCCACGAGCTGGTGCACCCTCAAAATCTCCCCTGATCTAGTGCCCTGATAGGCACTCAGGCCCTGCCCCCGGCTCACCTGTAGCAGTTGTTGTGGTACTTGTTGTAGCTGCCCAGGGCCGTCAGGCACCCTAGGCAGATGGCAAAGGAGAAGAAGATCTGGGTGCCTGCGTCCATCCACACCTACGCAGGGAAAAGACAAGAAAGCTGTGCCTCAGGGGAGCCAGGCTGTCTGGGGTCCAGGGACCACACAGGCCTACAGCCAAGCCAGGCAAAGGGTGGCAGACCCCTGCCCTCAGCCCACGCAGGCAGCCCCACGGCCATGCTATTCTGATGCGCTCGACTTCCCGGGCCCCTAGACGGCAGGATGGCACGGGCATCAAGCATTGGAGAAAGACTAAAGGACCCACGATGGAGGCCGACGAGCTGGTGCTCTAGAACCAAGTGAGGCCTGGCCCGTCTTTTCTATAATGGAAACAAAGCCCAGGGCTCTACCTCCACTTCCTCCCACCCCAGGTCCCCCTGGCAGTGTGCCGAGATTGGAAGGATCCCAGCGACAGGCTTTGCGGGGATGTGGGTCCTTTGCATCGGTGCCTTCACGGGCACGTAGCTTTGCCCCTCGCGCCTCAACATCGTCTGCAGAACGGGAAGAGCGGGCCTCAGGTCACAAGGAGCCAAGAGGATGAACAGAAGCCATCTGTAAAGAGCCTCGTGCTCCCTGGGGGAAGACAGCTCTCCAGCTAAACATAGGGTATGGCTGGTCTTGTTATTATCTCAGCTGGCTGGCCCAGCCTGTGCATGTTATGATTTAGATTTAACAGCTAGAATAACATCCCAGAGAGAAAGAAGATCAAGGAGAACGGGACTTGCGGCGCTGCAGACCCACAGGAGGTGGGGTCCTGCGGCCACAGACCCTCCCCGGGCACCTCCTGCCTTCAGGGGACCTGAGCACCAAACCGTGGCCGCGGACATCGCCAGGCTGGTGTCCTAACACTTTTGGGTCCGCATTTCTTGTCTCATGTCCGCCCTCCTCGTTAGCCCCCAAACAGGCCCCAGCTCTCCTTCCACTAAAATCGGGCTCGCAGGGCCCACGGGCACCAAAGCCTCAGCTGCTTCTGTGTACAGCTCCCCGGCCCCTACCTGTTCCCTCCCCACACCCCTAACCGTCGTGACCACCCCTTACCTCCCTCCTCTCTCACCACTCACCCCCCCAAATGCCCACTCTCCTTGGCATTGCGGTGCGTCTGAGGGAACCCGTGCCAGCTGACAGCATCAGAACGCAGACTCCTCAGCCAGCATCCCCGGGTGAGACCCTGAACTAGGCCTAGAGGAGAACCCGGAAACCTGTATTGTTTCAAAGCTTCCTGGGCGACCCTAATGACCAGTCAGATGTGGGGATCCCTGCCTTCCAGCCCCCGAGAACTGGCATCCACCCGGGCACTCTTTCCTCCTGCTCTCCCTCCTCTTCTGCAGGGATGAGGACAGAGCGGGAAAGAGGGTGAGGACAGGGGGAGACTGTCTCTAACCTTCTGCCCCTCCTGCCCACAGGGACCCCCATCCCCAGGCTATCAGGGAGGCAGGAGCTGCCACCAGGGACAGGGTGTCTGGGGCAGGAAGCACAGAGGAAGACCCCAAGGGAGGAGCCAGGGCCAGCAAGGAAATAGGCAAGGTCGAAAACACCAAGGGGAGCTTCTTTAAACCTCAGGAAAAATGATCATGGGGAAAGGAGAGGGGGTCTTGGAATTTATTTCAGAAGCTGGAGAAAGAAAGGGTGGGAATGAAAGGAGAGAAGCCGAGGACAGGCCACAAAACTCCGAGGATGCCCCGGGCCGAGGACGTGCCTCGGGGAGCCTGGCTGTTCCTTTGCAACGTCTCAAATCCTATCCTCTTCTAAACCTGCCCCAGACTCTGCGAGGAGAGTCCTCCCAGGAAGACCCAGTGGCCTCTGGTCTGAAGGTCACTGTTCCTTTTTGTTCATTATCACAGCCCCAAGCGCGGGTTGCTGTGGCAAGAGGTTCTGAGGTTGTACAGGAAGGATCCCGCCAGGCTGGGATGGAGGGCCAGGGAGGTGTCTCCAGGCCGGTTATCCAGGCCGCAGCCCCGGACCTGCCCAGCCTCGGGCCCCCGAGGCCTACTCCCCGTGCCTGGCGGGGCCCAGGCTGCAGCCTGACCCGCCGTCCATGCAGGAAACTCTGTTCCCTTGGAGATGTTCCGTGGCTGCGCACGTGCAGATCCCACGGTTAGGAAGTGTTGCAGACTTGGGCTTGGGAAGAAGAAACAAGAAAAACTGTGACTTGGCAGGTCACCTCGCCCGGAGGGGGAGAGACTAAGACCGAGTTGGGAGGAGAGGTTGAGGAGAACGGAGGAAAAGGCAGCAGGAGGCCTGAGAGCTCAGAGTGCGGGGCTCAGACTGGCTGGAGGCTGGCGAGCCGGCTCCGCGCAGCTGCTCCTGGCCAGCCTGCTGCGGCGGGAGAGCCGCGGGGCCGCGGGAAGGGCCGGAGGACAGCAGGGCAAGCCATTCTCTACCCACCACAGGCGACCTGCCACGTGCCCCGTCCGGGAGCCCTGGTTTCGGGAACAAAGCTCCAGGGTGTGTTTGGCTGGCGCAGAAGACTGCCCGACAATACAAGCGAAAAACGCTTCAGGGAGTGTGGGCTAAAGAGAGGTCTTGGAGGGGCGACAGAGGAAGAGAGAATTTCTAGAAGATCCAGGAAAGATGTTCTCAACCTGAGTCCAACCCCAAGGACTATTACATTTTCTATTTTCAGGAAGGCAATCGTATGTAAGCCTGGGCTTTGGAGTCAAACTGAACTGAGTTCAGTTCCTAACTCTGTTAATAACTAGCTGTGTGATCTTAGGCAAATCACTTAACCTCTCTAAACCTCACTTTTCTCATCAGGAAAATGGGTAAAATAACAAGTAAAATAACAAATGGGTATATTAAGAAATAGAATGGGTAAAATAACAAATAAAATAATGTATGTAAAATGCCTAACACATAAAGAAATATTAGTTCCCTATCCCACTTCAGAATTAATTCTAGAATAATAAAAATCAGCCCTTAAAACTAAGCATTCATATTCTTTGGGAAATGTATATCATGGTGATTAAGGCAGAAGACCCCCAAAAGATGACTTGGGATGAAACCCAAGCTCCCCCTCCACGCTTGTTTCGTAGTTTGGGGCAAATTTCTTAACTTTTCTAAGCTCCCAATTTCTTCATCTGTAAAATGAGGCTACACCTAACTCGTGGGATTAGTGTGAGGTCTAAACTGTCTTGTGCACCTAGGGAAGGGCCTGGCAGACAGTAAGCACATAATACACGTGTCAGCTATTGGCCTATTTGTCGTTGCTGTTATTTTAAAGAAGCAACTCACCTTCCAGTAATAATAAGGTCCCGTAGGTTTCAATGCACGACATCAAAATGAAAAGACTCGTTCTAATCAATGGCTCCAACCTCCTTCCCTAAATAAACCCTTCCTTAGAGAGCTTAAGGTAGAGGTTTCAGGTGTTCAACAAGGACTCTCCAGACACCCCGTCCCCAGCCCCTGTCCTTATTGATCTACCAAAGTGCAATGGAACAAAGGGTCAGGGTGAGGGAAAGAAAAAGCTCCAGGACCCAGCACACGCTGCACCAGCGGAGTCTCCCAGGGCCGCTCCCCAGTGGGAAAGAGATGGTGCTGGGGGGGCCGGGAGAGGCAGCAATCCCCCACCGCACAGCGGCCTGGCCAATGAGATAAACTCAGCAGTGTCTCCGCCTGGCTTCCGCTCCAGGCCGAGAGCTTGGCCGAGAGAGGCGCTCTGGTCTTGGTGCTGCAGGAATTTTGCAGCTTTCTCAAGTGCCAGGCAAATGCAGGTTGGCATTGGCACACTTCCTGGGGAGCGCCAGCTACTTCCCCTTAGGGCTCTGGCGGGGGGCATCCCGCCCTGCAGAGGCTGCTCTGCTCACTGACAGAAAGGTGGGCTTCAGCAGGAGGCCAGGACCAGCCGTTAGTAAGTCTGCTCGGAAGCTCAGGACCAAGCCTGGCTCTTGGAACGTCTCCCTCCCTGGGCTCAGAGGATTCTGAAGGCATCGCTCCCTGCACAGCCTGCAGCTGCCCAGGTTGGAAGGATGGTGTCCTGGAGAGAAGCCTGAAAGAGGTCTTATTCCCTGCAGTAACCCAGAAACAGAATTACGGCCTTTTAACTCTCAGACTTGAAGGCGCTCTGGTCCACCTTCTTCATATTTGCCAGCAGCTATTACGTAGCAAACGTTACACCTAGAACATACCTGGCACAAAACGGACGCTCAATAAATCTTTGCTGAATGAATGAGCTGCGAGAAAAACAAAGACGAGCAGACAGGACTTTGCCTTCAAGAGACCGTAAAACCTGTGGGACTTGTCATCATGCAGACCTGGATTCCAGGTGCAGGTGTGCGGACGGAAAGTTCTTTAAGCTCTCTAGGCCTTAATTTCCTGTCTATAAGATGGGGATACCTCATTGGTCAGCGGTGAGGATTAGCTGAAATAATGCATGTGACCCTCTTAACGATGCCAGGGCCATAGCGGGCGCTCAGCAGTTGTTAGCTAAAAAGCTGGTCAGGACAAACAGAGCGTCGATCACAGAAGCCATAGGTCAGTTCCAGAGATGCTGGACCCTCTCTCCCTTTCTTCTTTCATTCCACCTGCCTGTCTCCCAGCCTGATCTCCAGGAAAAGGCGGCTTGCGGCTCAGCCACCGGTTCACACCGCTGCCCCAGAACCGCAGCGGCTCCCTCCTGCGTGAGGGATCCAAGCCGAACCCACACCCGGCCTCCGAGGCCTCGCCCGGCTCTGCTGCCCCGCAACCTCCTGCTTGCTGCCTGCCTTCCACCACGGCAATTTGGGTCCCGGCCTGCCGTTCCTTCCACGTGACCTTGGGCCCTGTTTGCTCATCTGTGCAGCGAGAAGTTTGCAGAGATGACGTTGGGGGTTTTCTAGCTTCAGCAGCTGCGTTTCTACAGTTTGGCTCCGAGGCCCGACTGCAGCCCTTGGGTCCACGGGGAGACGAGGTGGCTGCCCGTGTCTCTATCTGTCTCAGAAACGGGGGCAGGAGGGTGTGGGGAAAGAGCCCGGGCCGAGGCTGGGGAGGCTTCCGGGCTCGAGTGGTCTGCTGCTTCTGGGAGCCCTGGCAGCCGCAGGACTCAGGATGGAAGAGCTCGTAATTCATCCGGGGGTGCTGGGAGGCTTGAGAAGAGCCACCCCAAATTCTGCACAAGGGGAGCCACTGCCTTCGTGGGAACGGTCCCCGCCTTGGAGGGAGCTGGGGGGCTGTTCCCTCCTCTGTTGCCCCCTCTCACCTCTCAGCAGTGACAGTGCCGCTGCTTTACTATAAAAACGTACAAAAAGCCGTTCGATTTCTGGTTTGCTCTGAGCTGGGCGTCCCTTTCAGGGGCACAGCCCTTCCAGCCCAGGAGGAGGCCCCGGGAGGTGACCTCTGTCAGGGAAGCGGGCTCAGGCCACAGCTGGGCCGGGCGGGGCTCTGGGCTGTGCTCACCCACGGCCTCTCCACCCTCGGCCCCCTCCTGGCTTTGCTGGCCTTCAAAACGGCTGCCAAACAGAAGACGAGATCCCGGCAGAGGCTTCTCAGTACAGGCCCTGCCGTCCACACCCTCGGTCAGCAGACACCCCCCCTCCCGGAGGGTGGACCCTGAAGGAAGGGCCGGGGGGGAAGGGCCGGGGGCCTCTGGACAGCACACAGGAAACTCAGCACCACCAGCCAGCTGGCCCTGGGAGGCGCTGGGGGCCGTGGCCAGGAGCAGGCCTTGTGGGCAGAGGGCGGGACAGAGGGGCCAGTGGAGGGTCAGGAGAGAGAGAGGCTGCTCGAAATGAAAGGAGACACCCAGAGGGGATGGGAGGTAGTGGAAGGGGAGAGCCTGGGGGAAAGGCTGTTAGGACGCATTTACAGCCCCCCAGAAACACTACAAAACACCACGAGGGCCTCAGGGCCCCTGGGTTCCCTGGCAGCTGTGAACCCAGGAGGGGGAGATGCGTGGAGACACCCCCCCTCAGCGTGGATGCCTGGGGTTGTCCAGGAGCAGAGATGCCCAGCTGAGCACAGGGACGGCCCTGTCTGTGTGTCTTACCTGGGGGTCCCATAGACGCGTGAGGTTTGGGTACAGGTAAAACTGAATTCCTTGGGCGGCCCCAGGCAGCGTCACCCCTCGAATCAACAGGACCACCAGCATGAGGTAAGGGAAGGTGGCTGTGAAGTATACCACCTGGCCAAGGGGCAGAGGAGAAGGTAAGGAACTGGGGCAGCCAGCAGTGGGGGGACGGGGAGGGGGCAGGGGGAGGAGCCGCCAAGCCCACGGCAGAGGTCACCAGCTCACCTTCTGCGCCTTCCCGCTCCCCCCGCAGCTGCTCAGTCCTCAGCCTTCAGCCCTCCCCCCTCCCTCCGTCTCCCTGACACACACCCAGCAAACATCTGCTGAGTGACTGAGCGAACTTAGGCATGCTCCCAACAAGTTTAGAACAGTGGCAAGGGTCGTCGGGGACAAAAAGCTCTGTCACACATGACCCCTGTCCCCACAGAGCTCACAAGCTTAGCACAACCGGGCAGCCAGCTTAGGAGGGAAGCCTGGTCAGAGGCCGCCAGGGCAGGAGTCCAGGAGAACTCGGGATGCCCTCATGCACTCCAGGGCAACGAGTCTCCCCAGGGTCTCGGGGTGGCTGACAGTCATGTTGAGATTAATAGTCATGACGGAATTGCTTTCCCAAAGAACAGCTGTATGAAACGGGGAGCCGTGAACCGTGTTCGGTTTGCGATGTGCCCATACGCATGGTGCATTCCAAGATCAGATTCCTCCCCACGTGTCCCTCCTGCGTCTCTCTCTCTGTCCTCTCTCTCTCTCCCCTATTCCAGTTCCCCAAATACCAGAAGGACATACCATTGAATCCAGGAAAGGCACAGAATCAAGGAAGAGAGACATGTGAACTCTTCGTGGGGTCATTCCCTCCCATCCCCGACGAGGTACAACTTGGGGAACCCCTGGGTGGCTGAGGCCCCCGGGGGAGCAGGGTGGCCCAGGGAAGGGAGGGGCCTGGGGCCCTCGAACACAGACCTTGCCCGTGGACTTGACCCCCTTCCAGATGCAGAAGTAGCAGATGACCCAGGCAAGCAGGAGGCACAGGGCCAGCTCCCAGCGCAGGGCCCCCAGGTGCTGGATGCCGTCCGAGATCTTCAGGACCCGCCTCCTGGGGAGAGAAGGGTGAGCGACTGCACCTGTGCCGCTGGCCTCAGCTCGTCCGGGCAGCGGAGCCGGGCCTCCGGCTCTGGTCCGAAGGCTTGTCGGCTCCTTCACTCTGATCCATGAGGCTCTGCTTTGCCCAGAGATGGGAGTAGACAGAGAGAAGGCAAAGACAAACTGTTCCCAGGTGGGTTTGCTCTGGCAGGCTGAGGACCAGTTTAACCCAGAGAAGGGGGTGCGAACCCGTATTTTCTCAACCGGAGGGTTAGGATGCTTTGATATGAGGAACCATGTCTTCGGTGAATGCCAATATTTCGGGGAGGGGCAGTAGAAGCAACACACATGCAGCCACAGGGGAGGGCGGACCCACATGGCGGGCGGGGGTGGGGTGGGGTGGGGGCGGGGGGTGGGGGGTGGGGCAGGGTGGGGGTGGGGAGTGGGGGCGAGGAGAGCCTCTGGAAGAGTCCTGCCCTAACCACAAATACAGGCACGGCAGGAAAAAGCCACTCGGGTGACGGCGCCACCAAAGGAGGAGGCAGAATCTCGTCCCCTGCAGCCCGTGGGGTCCCCAGCCCCGCGCCCGTCTAATGGACACGCCACCCACACTGCGATGGGGCAGGGGCCTCACTTACTCCCAGAACTCGATGACGGGAGAGGTGGCGTTCTCAGAGCTCACGTTCACGGAGCTGCTGGCCCTCTGGAACTCCACGCAGTGCTCTGCCGGGGGTCCAGGGCGGGGCGGGGAGCGAGAGAAACATCACTGGCCAGTATGTAACATGAGCAGAGAGTGGGGCGAAATTTCAGGAGACTGGGAAGCACGGTATCTGGGCTGAAGGTGCCTAAACAAAACAGCCTCATAATAAAACACAAAACGAAACACATAATGACCTCAACAAAGCCACTGCACCCTCTCCCACTTCTCCGGGGTGGAGCCGGGGCGGGGGTGGGTGGGTGTAGCACATTCTCATTAAAGCACCATCAGGCGGCCTCAGGAAAGATGCTTTGCACGCCATCAGCTTCAAACATACGAATATTTCTGGGCCACTGTCCTGTAGAGAGTGGCCTTTGAGGAACAATAAGGATGCCTTCTGGGGAAGTGATGTAGCTGACGGCTAAGAGCACAGGTACAGATCAGAAGACTTTGGCTTGAATCCCTGCCCCCCTCCGGTTATTCACTGTGTGGCTTTCTAAGCCTCACTTCTGTGGTCTCTAAATGTACACGAGGGGACTTCCCTGGTGGTGCAGTGATTGGGAATCCGCCTGCCAATGCAGGGGACGTGGGTGCCATCCCCGGTCTGGGAAGATCCCACATGCCGTGGAGCAACTAAGCCCGTGCGCCACAACTAATGAGCCTGTGCTCTAGAGCCCGCGAGCCACAACTACTGAGCCCATGCACCTAGAGCCTGTGCTCTGCAGCAAGAGAAGCCACCGCAGTGAGAAGCCCGAGCACCGAAACGACGACCCAACGTAGCCAAATATAAATAAATAAATAAATTTAAATGAATAAATGTACATGAGAAGATCCCAGTGTTGACTGATAGCGGAGACTGCCCGGCACTCCATAAATAGTGGCTCTTAATTACCCATCTACGACTATGGACTTTTCACAAAGTGGTCACACTCTTCTTTACATTTTATTAGGACGGTAATCCTGGGAAGCATCAATAAAGACAGACAGCGTCCCCCGCTGTGCACACACGAAAGCTGATCTTCTTAGAAATGGCCCAGCATCGCTTGTCTGTGATGACGTGAAGGCTGGGATCCAGCTCAGCAAATTGTGTATGTTCCACCTTCAGAAAATCTGGGATCCGACCCTTCCCGTTACAGGTGTGACCACCAGTCTGGTGCAGGTCACCACGGCTCCCAGCTCCCTGATGGGCCCAGTTTCTGCTCTTGCCTCCAGAGTCAAATCTCCAGAGAGCAGCCAGAGAGGCTTTGCTCAAACTTCAGTCATGTCGTGGCTCTATGTCTTGTCCCAGGTCAGAAACCTCCAAAGGGTTTCCCATCGCACCCAGAGAAAGGCCCAGACCTCATCATCGCCCTCAAGGCCCCATTCAATCCACCCCTCTCCTACTGCCCCACCCCCGCTCACCTGCCCTGCTGCCCCCTGGATGCCACCCCACTTCTGCACTGCTGCTTCTCCTACCTAGTATCTGCCTCCACACGCCCTCCTCCTTCAGAGCATGACCCAGCGTCACCTTCTTAGAGATGCCTTCCCCGATGACCCTATTTAAAATTACACCCCACCCCTAAGATTCCCAGTCTCTCCTCCCCGTTTAGTGCATGTGCCTCCCCATGCAGTGCCTCTAGCATGACACATGGGAGTCCAACCCCTCTCCTACTGCCCCACCCCCGCTCACCTGCCCTGCTGCCCCCTGGATGCCACCCCACTTCTGCACTGCTGCTTCTCCTACCTAGTATCTGCCTCCACACGCCCTCCTCCTTCAGAGCATGACCCAGCGTCACCTTCTTAGAGATGCCTTCCCCGATGACCCTATTTAAAATTACACCCCACCCCTAAGATTCCCAGTCTCTCCTCCCCGTTTAGTGCATGTGCCTCCCCATGCAGTGCCTCTAGCATGACACATGGGATGCACTGATTTTGTTTCTGGTCTGTCTTCTGCCACTAGAATGAAAGCCACGAGGGTAGGAGCTCTATTTCTGCACCTTGCATGTCCCCGGTACTTGGAACAGAGCCTGGGGTAGAGCCAGGGCTCCACACACATCTGCCGAACCACGGGATATTAGCAGAGCCCTCTCTCCTCCAAACCAAGTCACTTTCCTTGAAGCCTCAGCACACCCAAAAGGGCTGTTTCTTCCGGACAGGATGGGATGTCCTGTACTACTCAAGATACTAGGCTCCGAGGACTCCAGACTCACCAGGAGAAATGCCCAAAATGTCATGGAGCCAAAGCCCTGGATATTGAATTTGCCTCAGAGATGCTCCCCCTGCCAAGTCAGCCAGAAGCACACAGGCCTGATGATGGCCTGAGGCCAAGCCCCTGGGCACCAGAAAGGCAGAAACTTTCTATAAGAGGAACCGCACTGAGACCTGGATAAAATCCCCATCTGAGAAGCTGGCTGTCAGGGCGGATTTTAGTGCACAGAGAAGAAAGAAAGAGAGAGACAGAGAGAGAGAGAGACGAGGGAGGGAGGGAAGAAGGAAGGAAGGGAGGAAGGAAAGAAGGGGGAAGGAAGAAAAAACACATAATAAAGAGAATATTAGAATAAAACAGATTTTAAAAACTTGATTCATTCCATGAATATTTTTTGAGAGCTCATGATGCTAAGTGCAAAAGGTGTAGAGATGAAGACACCATTTTTGCCCTCAAGATCTTGCAACAAACAGAGGAAAACCGGGGTGAGTGCCACAGTCAAGGGCCGCAGCCCGTGTAGGTACTAGCAGACGCACTCAAGAAGAACCTAGCAGATCCTGGGGTGTCAGGGGCGGTACCTCCAAGATCTGACTTTTCACTTGACAAGTAGTGGGACAAAGTGGTGACAAGGGAATGAAAGCCTGGAGAGGCAGCATAAAATATGAGGGCAAGGGGGCCTTGAACACCAGGATAAACGTGCAAAACCACTTCCCTGGCAAGTGAGTAAAAGATTCACACTCTAGCTCAGAACTGAGTAACTTATCTGAACAAGAAAAAGTCCATCATGGCACAGGTAGGGCCTCACTGACAGGCATGAGAGGTGTTTGGACATTGGGAGCAGGACAGTGTCCCCCTGCGCGGTCCAATAGGGCAGTGACAGCCACGTGTGGCTATTTACATTAAATTAATTTAAATTAAATAAAAACTTTAAAATTCAGGTCCTCACACGCACTAGCCATGTTTCAAGTACTCGACAGCATGTGTAGCCAGTGGCTACCGTATCAGAGAGTACAAAGCACATTTCACCACCACAGGTAGTTCTTTTGGAAAGCACTACCCTAGAAATTTTTAATTTGTATTTTTAATTTAACATTTTCTTTCAATTCATTAGACTTAGTAGTTCTATCGCCATAGAGGCTCTTGTCTTAAAAGAAAATCATAGGAGAAAATTAATTGCTATGGTAAATTATATTGATGCCATACAAAACAGCTTATCCCTGGTTAAATCCACATGACTTGGGAGCTGGAAAGGCCTAACATAGTATCAGAAAGAAGACATGAAGAATAAATAAATGATAAAACAATATATCCATATATCAAACCAACCACGTTTCAAATCAAAATCCATAAAGGGCTAAACTGCACAAAAAGAAGTCAGTTCTATCTTCTTAATAACATTGATTGAACACATGAATTTTTTTGAAAATATCTGTGATATTTTTCCGGTGACGCTGGTGGACTCTCGCTCTTATCTTTGACATAAGACCTCTGTCACCTCCTTGGCAGATTTCTAGCATGTCCCAGGTGAAGGATGGGGCCTGGGGACCAGGATATGGGGACAATCCCTCTCCTGGTCACCGCAGCAGAGCAGGTGGAGGTGACCTCACCTGTGTTCCAGTCGTGGCGGCAGCTCCCCCAGGGCAGGTCGATGGTGAAGCTGCTGAAGAGGTAGAAGAGGGCCCAGGCCAGGACGATGATGTAGTAGATGTTGAGGAGGATGACAATGGTCTGGGAGGCATAGCCGATACCTGGGTGGAGGCACACGGGGCTGGGGACACGGGGCAGGTTTCTGGCTCCGCCCACCCCTGCTCAGGAGAGGGTCTGTGCTCCCCTGTGAGTGTCCTGAGACACGGGGTATGGGGTCTGGGCTCCTGGCTCGCTGCCCCCTCCCGTCGTGCAGCCCCCCCAGGCCAGGCCGGGCTTCCTCCCATCTCCTGCTGCCCTGCCCCGCTGCCTGTACGCTTTCATCTGTATGCTGCAAGCTCACGGATTCTAAGCTATCTTACAAATGTATAAGGCTAACTCCGAGATTCCAATAGCTAATAATGTTCCCTGGAATTCGTCTGATATATTTCTGAAATGTAAAAACATGCGTTAAGGGAATTCCCTGGTGGCGCAGTGGTTAAGAATCCGCCTGCCAACTCAGGGGACACGGGTGCGAGCCCTGGTCCGGGAAGATCCCACATGCCGCAGAGCAACTAAGCCCGTGCGCCACAACTACTGAGCCTGCGCTCTAGAGCCTGCAAACTGAGCCCGCGAACCACAACTACTGAAGCCCACGCGCCTAGAGCCCGTGCTTCACAACAAGAGAAGCCACTGCAATGAGAAGCCCGTGCACCGCAACGAGGAGTAGTCCCCACTCGCTGCAACTAGAGAAAGCCCGCATGCAGCAACGGAGACCCAATGCAGCCAAAAACTAAAACTAAAAAAAAAAAAAACACGCGTTAAAAGCAGGAAGAGACAGTTCACAGAGGAGCACACACACACAGGCAATGAATATCCTCACAACACACTCATCCTCCCTAATAATCGTAGGTGTGCAAAATGATGAGCTACCATTCTGCATCTGCAACACTAGTGAACATGTTTACAAACGATATAACTCAGTGATTTCCAAACTTGTCCACATAGTAGTAGAACTACCTGGGAATACTTTAAAGATTCCAAAGCCCAGAGCAGACCCCAGACCAATTTAATAACAATCTCTGGGGGTGGGGTACAGGCCTCAGGATGTTTGGAAGGTCCTGGGGTGACTCCAGTGTGCAGACAAGTTTGGAAACCAGGGATATAACTCAGAGCTGTTAAAGGTACGGAGGAAAGATGCTTACTCAAGTCCGGTGATGTGTACGTCAGCATAACCCTTCCATAGAACAACTTAATAAGCATGGTCAAGGGACATCAACTTGGTTGTCCATTTGATCCAGTGATCGTAATCCTGAGAATTTATCCCAAGGAAATAACTCCAAAAAAGGGGGGTAACGGCTACCTCTACAAAGATACACGATAGCAGAATATCAATTTATCAGGGATGGAAAATAAGCAAAAAGCCCAGAACAGAGAGTCGTTAAGCCAATTATGATATATCCCCTTGATGGAAGTTCATGCAATCACATGACTGTTGTGTAAGAAATGGAAAATAACACTAACTAAAAAACAGAGGGACTTCCCTGGCTGTCCAGTGATTAAGACTCTGCGCTCCCAGTGCTGGGGAGGGTTCAATCCCTGGTCGGGGAACTAAGATCCCACTTGCCACACGGCGTGGCCAAAAAAAACACAAAAACGACAGAAACAGAAACTGTGTATATTTCATATTAATAGATATGTAAACTTTATATAGAGAGAAAGAAATAATGAAGTAAATCTCTCCAAACTGGAAAAAACCCAAATGTTCTTCAGTGGGTGAATGGTTAAGTAAACCATAGGACAACCATCCACACCATGGAATACTGCTCAGTAATAAAAAGGAATGAACTATTGATACAAGAGCAATCTGGATGGATCTCAAGGGCATCATGCCGAGTGAAAAAGCCAGTCTCAAAAGGTCACATACTATATGATTCCATTTATGTAACATTCCCCAAATGACAAAATTATAGAGATAGAGAGAAGTTAGTGGCTGTCAGAGGTTATAGGGGTGGGGAGGGGAAGGGTTAGTGTGACTACGAAGGGGCAGCAGGATGGAGATCTCCGTGGTCTTGGAACAGCGGTGGTGTTTGCACGAATCAACACAAGTGATAGAATTACACAGAATTATACGCGCACACACACACACACACACACACACACACACAAGCAAGTGCATGGAAACGGGTGCGATCTGAGTAAGGTCTGCGGATTGTACCAATGTCCATTCCCAGGTTTTGATATTGTCCTATATAAGATTTTTACCATTGAGGAAAATGAAAATGTCACTGGGTGAAATGTACACGTGACCTCTCTGGGCTACTTTTGCAACTTTCTGTGAACATATAATTGTTTCAAAATGGAATCTTAAAGAAAATCCTATATAGAGAGAAATATTGAAATAAAACATCCTAAGTTTTAAATAGCTATTGTGTCAAGATGGTAGAATTAAAAAAAATTTTTTTAACATCTTTATTGGAGTATAATTGCTTGACAATGGTATGTTAGTTTCTGCTTTATAACAAGTTGAATCAGCTATACGTATACATATATCCCCATATCTCCACCCTCTTGCGTCTCCCTCCCACCCTCCCTATCCCACCCCTCTAGGTGGTCACAAAGCACCGAGCTGATCTCCCTGTGCTATGTAAACATTTTATCTATTTATTTATTTGGCCACGCCACGCAGCTTGTGGGATCTTAGTTCCTCCACCAGGGATTGAACCTGGGCCCCTGGCAGCGAAAGCACAGAGTCCTAACCAGTGGACCGCCAGAGAATTCCAAAGATGGTAGAATTATTATTTTTTTCTCATTAAAATTCTCTTTTTAGGGAATTCTCTGGCAGTAATTCAGTCTTGGGCCCACGGTGGAAGGTTTAACATAAAGACACAGCGTCTTATCTGTATCAGCACTGCTGATAAACCACCCAGTTATTCCAAACAAGGTTTATAACCACTAGTGCAGAGACTCTGGAGTCGGGCGCAGAGCTACTCACCCTCAAAGATGGGGCAGATCTTCCTCCAGGCTGTGATGCCCCCCTGGCTGGTGTACTGGCCCAGTGCTGTCTCCAGAAGAAAGACAGGAATGCCACAGGTAAAGAGGAAGATGAGGTAGGGGATGAAAAAGGCACCTGCGGGTGGGAAACAGGCTGTCCATTACGTGGCACTAGCCTCCTTGTGGTCCACGGTCATCTCTCCCCCTTGCCACTCCATGCTTCCAGTCAGAATCCCGGGGATGGGGACTGCGCAAAATGGCGGGGACATCTGTCTAGATGTCTGGAACCATGGCAGAGATCAGGTGTCACCAAGTTACTTAGGACCTAGCCAGCCACTTCCTTCACTCTGAAGTTTCCATCTATACCTTCCAAGGTTTGCTCCCCATCAACTTCAGTTGCTGCCCAAATAACACATAGCTTGTGGCCATAGAAGAAGCTCACTGAGTCACAGATATCCAGGAGCATTCCCACAGCCCACAGTCTATAATTTTTGTCAAGGAAATGATTGCTCTCAATGTTAGAGAGGGGCTTTTAGCAGACTGAAATGAGATTTCCCTTAGTAATCCTTTCTCCTTCTGTTTCCACAGTCACTGCCTGAGACAAGTCACTGCCTGAGACAAGTCTATGCTGGCATTTGCTCCACCATAGACCTCCATCTGCTGGCAACTGGGCAGGGGAGTTCACCGGAGAGAGTCCCGGGGGAGAGACGTGCACAGAGAGACCCAAGTGCCTGCAGAGCGTCCCCTACGAGCTTGAGTGCTGGTCAGCACATGCGTGTGAGGACACTACCCAAGGAGGGGAAAGAATCCCTCAAGAAGATAGAGCCTGGTGGTGCTCACGCAAGGCTGGAGACATTCCAAAGACTTAAGGAAGACATGACACCAATTCTATACAAACCCTTGCAGAAAATTTAGAAGCAATTCTTTCCAACTCATTCTACGAAGCTAGCATTACTCTGATAACAAAAGTAGATAAAGACAAGAAAAGAAAACTATAGATCAAACTTTCATGAACATAGATGCAAAATTCTAAACAAAATTTTAGATATCCAACAATATATATAAAAAAAGTAATACATAGTGGAGTTTATCCCTGGAATACAAAGTTGTTTCAACATTCAAAAAAAAATCAGTGGATCATATTAATAAATTTAAAAAGAAAAACCATATAATCATTTCAATAAATGCAGAAAAGTATTTGACCAAATCTAACAGACATTTCTGATTAAAAAAAAAAAACTCTCAGCAAGTGATGAATAGAAGGGAATAAAGGGCATCTACAAAACACCTATAGATAACATCATACTTAATGGTGAAAGACTGCTTAACCCCTAAGGTCGAGAGTAAGACAAGGGTGTCCAGTCTTACTATTTCTTACCACTTCTATTCAACATTGGTTCCATCAATATTGATTCTAGTCAAGGCAAGAAGGCAATAAAAGGAATTAAAAGTTATTCAGATTAGAAGAGAAGAAATAAAACTGCTTTACTTGCAAATGACATGATCACCTATGTAGAAAATCCGTTGGAATTTAAAATAGTCAAACTCATAGAATCAGAAAGTAGAATGGTGATTACCAGGGTCTGAGGAAGGGGGAAGCAGGGTGATGCCAGTCAAAGGGTATAAAGTTTCAGTTTTGCAAAATGAATGAATCCTAAGATCCACTGTAACCATAGTGTACATAGTGAACAATATTGAATTGTTTTCTTAAAATTGTGCTAAGAAGGTAAATCTTATGTTGTGTTCTTATCACACAAAAAAAATTAAAATGATAAAAAGAGGACAGAAGGAAACTTTTGGACGTGATGGATATGTTTATGACATTGATTGTGGTGACAGTTTCACAAGTATATGTTTACCTCCAAACTCATCAAGTGGTATACATTAAATGTGTACAGCTTTCTGTACATTAGTCATACCTCAATAAAGTGTATTTAAAAAGAAAAGAAAGAAAATCCTTTGGAATGTACCAAAGAGCTGCTAGAATAAATAAGTTAATTTAGTGAGGTTACAAGATATAAGATCAGCATAAAAAATCAATTGTATTTCTTCTACTAGCAGCAAGCAATTATAAATTACAATTTAACAAATAATACCATTATAACAGCGTCAAAGAGATGAATTATTTAGGAATAAATTTGACAAAAGATGTGTACACTCATAACTGCAAAACATTGCTGAGAGGAATTAAAGAAGACCTAAATAAACGGTGAGGCATACCATGTTCATGGGTCAGAAGACTCAGTATTATTAAGATGTCAGTTCTTCCCAAATTAATCAATAGATTCACTGTAGTCCCAATCAAAATCCCAGCAGACTTTTTTGTAGAAACTGACAAACGGATTCTAAAGTTCGTATGAAAATGCAAAGAACCTAAAATAGCCAAACAACTTTGAAAAAGAAGAACTAAGTTTTAGGCTTACCTCTACCTTATTTTCATATTATTATAAAGATACAGTAATTAAAACAGTGTGGTTTTGGTGACAAAATAAACAAATAGATCGACAGAACAGAATAGAGTCCAGCAAAAGGGCCATGCACATTTGGACAATTGATTTTTGACAAAGGTGCAAAGGCAATTCATTGGAGAAAGGATAGTCTTTTTAATAAATGATGCTAGAACAAGTAGATATACATACACACAAAAAATGAATTTCAATCCATACCTTCATTTTATACAAATATTAACCCAAAATGGATCGTAGACCTAAGTGTAAAACCTAAAACTATAAAACTTCTAGAAGAAAATATATGAGACCTTGGGTTAAGCAAAGATTTCTTTCATGTGACATCAAAAACATGAGTCATAAAAGAATAAATTCATAAACTGCACTTCATAAGAATTTGAAACTTCTGCTTTTCAAAAGACATTGTTAAGCAAAGGAAAAATATAAGACAGAATGAGAAAAAAAACTGCAAAATGCATATCTGATAAAGGACTTGTATCCAGAATATATAAAGAAGTAGCAAAATTCAATAATAAGAAAACAAACGACCTATTTTTTTTTTTTTTTTTTTTGCGGTACGCGGGCCTCTCACTCTTATGGCCTCTCCCGCTGCGGAGCACAGGCTCCGGACGCGCAGGCCCAGCAGCCATGGCTCACGGGCCCAGCCGCTCCACGGCATGTGGGACCTTCCCGGGCCGGGGCACGAACCCGCGTCCCCTGCAACGGCAGGCGGACTCTCAACCACTGTGCCACCAGGGAAGCCCTATTTTTTTTTAATGGTCAAAAGATTTGAACAGGTTTTCACCAAAAAAGATATGTGGGCTACAAATAAGCACATGAAATGATGTTCAACATCATTAGTCAATATAAATTTAAGTGACAATGAGGTAATGTTCACACCAATTAGAAAAGTTAAAATTAAAAAGACAGACCAAGTATTGGTAAAGTTGTGGAAAAGCTGGCACTCAGATACGCTGCTGGCAGGAAGGTAAAAATGGTACAACCATGTTGGAAACGTGTTGCGCAGTTTCTTAAAAAGTTAAAGGTGCCCCTATCATATAATCCCGCCATTCCACACTTCAGTGTTCCCTCAAAGGAGATGAAAGCACATGTTTATACAAAGGTTTGTACACAAAAGTTCTTAGCAGTTTCATCTGTAATAGCTAAAGCCTGGAAACAACCCAAATGTCCATCAACAGGAGAAGAGATAAATTGTAGTATATCCATATAATGGAATACTACCCAGTAATAACAAGAAAGGAACTACTGAGACATGAAAAAGATGGATGAATCTCAAAGTAATTATGCTGAGGGATAGAAGCCAAGTAAAGTATATACTGCATGATTCCATTTATAGAAAATTATAAGAAATGCAAACTACTGTATAGTTTGGAAACAACCTGGAAAACTAGGCCTGGAAACGACCTAAGTGTCCCTCAACAGATGCATGGATAAAGAAAATGCTATATGTGTAATGGAATATTATCCGGCCATAAAAACAGAAGGAAATTCTGCGTTTTGCAGCCACATGGATGGACCTCGAGGGTATTATGCTAAGTGAAATAAGTCACAGAGAGAAAGTACATACTGCACGTCCTCTCCTATGTGTGGAATTCATAGAGGCAGAGAGCAGAATGGTGATTACCAGAGGCTGGGGGTGTGAGGAATGCGGACATGTTGGTCAAAGGGGACAAACTTCGTTATAAGATAAACAATTTCTGGGGGTGTAACATACAGCATGGTGGCTGCAGTGAACTATACTGTCTTATATAGTTGAAAGTTCTTAAGAGAATAGATCTTAAGTGTTATCACCACCAAAAAAAAGGGTAATTATATGAAGGAATGAAGGTGTTAACTAACCTTACTGTGGTAATCATTTTGCAATACATACATGTATTAAATCATCATGTTCTACACCTATACTATCCATAATATATCAATAAAGCTGGAAAATAGTTATATTTTAAAAAAACAAAACAGGTTTTTGGTTGCATTGGGATGGGGTAGCAGAGGTCAGGGGTGGGAGAGAGGGAAGGAGGGAATTTGGGGGAGTGATGCACACATTCATTATCTTGATAGTGGTGATGGTTTCAAGGGTGTGTACCTATGTCGAAACTTATCCAACTGTACACCTCAAATGTGTGCAAGTTGTTGTAAGCCAATTATACCGTCATAAAATTGCTAAAACAAAAGTTAGTGGGGAAAAGGCTTCTCCAGCTCTTTGCCTCTAGTCCACGCATCCGTAATTCAGGAACTGAAGGAAACGCTTGGTGACCACAAGGGCAAAGAAAGATCGTAAACAATTCAGGCACGTGAGTAGATAAATCAGTCCAAGGCTTGCTGGGCAGGAAGGGGAAATTAGGGAAGAGAGAACCCAGTAGCTGATATGAACAGTTCTGCTGGGAGCTGGAAACATTGCAGAGAGAGAGAGAGAGAAGACAGGGGGCAGGGGGGAGAGTTTTCAGCCTGGCTCAAGCCCCTCATCCCCATCTTTGTGCCACCTGCTCTTCCCCAATGAACCGAGCCAATGTTTAACCGCACTGGGTCCGGTGGTCAGTCTGCACCCATCCCCCTCTGCCTCCTTGAGCTCCTGGGCAGCTGGCCAGAGGGGACAAGGTCCACACCCGCCAGGCCGAGTCACTGGCCCCAAACCGGGGAGGGAGTTAGGGAAGAGATAGAGCCCAGGAGGGACCCAGGTGCCCACCAGGGAGTCCTGGGGCACTGCCTCTTTCCCCACCGAAGCCCCAGTCACCACCACTCAAAGATGGAGCCACTCCTGGAGACGGAGGATGGAGTCACAGTTATTTGCTCCCCAAATCCCCCATTTAGTCTCCTTGCCCAAATTCTAAAATGTCCTGGCATTTTTCCCCATGGGATGGGAGAGACCACATGCCCATCCTGGAAAGGAATCATTCTGCTGGACACCCTTCTCGATAGGAACACATTCTGTGGCGTCACCTGTAATGCTCCAGGTGACATTTTTTTAGGACAAACTGACGATATGCCACATGAGCAGCACAGGAGTGAACATGCATGAATATTACATGCTGTAATCAACACTGCTGGACCAATACTTGGCATTGCTTCATTAACTAAAAGTGGTGACCAGTTGTCACGTACTCATAAAATAACCGTGACTCTTACATGAAGAAAAACACTCCTTGTTTCTCTTCATTCTTTAGTATATCTACGGAGAACCTCAGGGCAAATGGGGGCCATCTAATGCCCTTGACATTGGTGTCCCCATGCTCCCTCTCCCTGACATCCAGAGGTGGGCTTTACTTGGCTATGGCCCTTCCCTCTAAGATCCCGGCTTTGAGAGGTCCAGCTGTGGTACATTCTGCTGTAGCCTCATGCGGGTCTCCAGCCCCAGGCAGCCTGGGTGTTGGGCAACTCAGTCTGCCGGTAGCCGGGGTCCAGGGAGCTGGAGGGCTTCCGGCTGAAGGCCCAGGTTCCGAAGCAGCCAGGACTTGGGTATTTGGGTAGAGCCACCAGTTATGTGAGAAAGAAGGACATCAAGGAGACTCCAAGCTTCTTAGCCTTGTAACCAGTCTGCTTCCCCCCTTAGTCCCCTGCAATCAGTTCTCAACACAGCAGCCAGACACTGTACAAGTGTAAGACTGGCCCCTCTGCTCAAACCCCTGGCCCGCCTCCCCATCACTGGAGGGAAAGCCAGAGTCTCACAGTGGCTGACAAGCCCTGGGTGACCTGCCCCCCCAAAGTGACTCCCCTCCAGTGGCTCCCCAAACACGCCAGCCAACCTCCTGCTTTAGGGCCATTAACACCTGCTTCCTCTGCCTGGAGCACTTTCCCCCTAATATCCACGTGGCCGGCTCTCACTCACCGGCAAGACTTCACTCTAACGTTCTCGGTGTGGTCGCCCGCAGCCCCCCTCCTGTAGCACTCGGGAACTTCTGATATGCTATGTAATTTTCTTGTTTACTGTGTTTATTGTTTATTGTCTGTCTCTCACAGACAGACAAGGAGTGTAAGCCCCACAAGGACAGGGAAGGGGTCTGTTCTGTTTATAATTATCACAACAACTCGGAATAATTCCTGGCAGGTGGTGGGTCCACAGTAAGTCACTGTCGTTGGGTGACACAGTCCGGGCTTGGTTGGCCTGGCCTGACTGTCGAAAGCCATGGGGAGGGGGGCGGGCAGGTGCTCGGGGTGGACTGGCCACAAGGCCTGGACGGCAGGGAGGGAGCTTATCTAGGAGGTGGCTGAGGCAGGCGCCCCCTGCACCCGTCTCCTGATGGATGCTGATTTTAGACAGGCTTCTTGGTACCACTTTCTCAGCATCTCTGGTTTTCGACTACAGTGTTTCACCGTTTCCCTGTTCCTCTATCATATGCTTGCCTCAGCCTTCTCCCTGCTCTGGGACTCACTTCTATTAGGATCTACCAAACGTTAAAGCTGGAAGGAACCGAAGAAGATATCACTTATATTTTTAGATTGGAACTGAAATTACGCTTTGGGGACGTTTTCCTCCCTGACTTCCCCACCAAACAAACATTAATGATAATAAAGTCCCAAGTTTATCCCCCCAGCCAAGCACAAAGGTGGCTATTTACGGCTATGAGGTTCAAGAAAGGGCCCAGGAAAAAGCAGGCTGATAACACACGTGACCCCGCGTGGTTCACCCCGTGACCCCAGCACCCTCCTGCAGAAGCTGCTCAGAACGTCCCTCTCGCCCCCAGGAGCCCAAGCCCCAATCTGAGAACGACGGGTTTAAATAAAATCACTAAAGCAGGAGGATGGGGTCAAACCAACCTAGATGGTCTCCGTCCTCCCCACCCCCTTCCCCATGTCGGCAGTGAAGGGTCCTGTCATAGGAGGCCTCCGTCCCCTCTTGACAAAGAGACGAGATGTGAAGTGTGGGACCCGTGCTCTGGGGGGAGGGGACGAGGGGGTAAAGGGGACAGAAAGGTTGAGCCTCTGGGAACACCAAAACCCGGGCCTGTCTGGGCCCCTCTACAGGCCACACGGGTCCCGGGTTTGTCCCCTTCACATTGGCAGGGGCGCCTCCCGCGTGTCCACCCGGTGGCCCTGGGTGACTCATGCCCTTCAGAGCAAACCCGGGCATCGGCCTCGGCCCCAGAGCCCCTCCGAGCACTTCCTGCAGCTGCTGTTGTCCATCAAGGAGAGAGAAGAGGAAGCCTGAGGCCTTGTGCCCTATCAGGGAAGAGACCGGGGTGGTGGCCTAAGGATTCTGCGGGCCGTTCCGTGAGCCCCGAAACGGCTCGTGGGGACCGGCGTGCTGGAGGGCTGGCTCTTCCCGGGCACGAGGTGGCCACCCTCCTGCCTCTGCTCCCCCCGAAGCACCCACGTGAGGAACCAGGGGCCGTGGACACGCTTGTTCCCGGCCTGCCTTTCCCCCGAGACGCGGCCACACCTCCCCGGGCCGCACAGACCTACACAGAGCCCCGAGGCGGAGCTCAGACGCAGGCCTCCCCTCGACAGGACGACCCCGTGTGCCCTGCCCAGGCCCTGCTCCCCTCTCCTTGCCCTCCTCAGCCCATTGGTTGGCACCAAGCCTGGGACCGCTCTCCCACCTCTTCGTGCCACTCCTGCTAATTCCCCAGCCACCCTCACCCAATTCCAGAGAGGCTTGGGGAAAGCGGCTCACCTCCCGACCTTCCTGCCGCGTGAGGAGCTAAGCTGGTTACCGGGTTCCAGACACGGAGCCCCAACGCCCGGCTTAGCCCCCAGACTCCTTCTCCTCCCTGAACGACAAGCCCCATCCCTCCGCCCTCGGGCCTAAATGTCTGAACAAGCCGCCGGAGGGTCCAGGGCTGGGTCGGGACCTCCCTCCTTCCCTCGCAATGTCAGCGGAGCAAAGTCCTGCGGCTTCAGGCTGCCGGCCAGGAAGTCTTGTGGAGAGGGAACACATCAGCCCATTCCCACCCCTCTGGAAAAATACAAGTTAACCTCCAACCCCACGGCCAATCCCCGGTTGCCACAATCCTGAAAGTAAGATTATGGGCTCAGAGCATCTGTGTGCTCACCCCCTTCCCATGCTCCCTCTTCCACCCCGCATCGTGGGCTTTATCTCCCCAAAACCACTGAGACTGGGCTCACACACGGAGGCTCCCACACCCCACAAAGGGGTAGGTGTGGCATTAGGGTTCCCTCCAGGCCTCGTGGCCCACAGAACTCCCACCCCCTCGGCCTGTCCCCGTGACCCACCTTGGCGTTTCCCCTCCTCTAGTGCAGGTTGCTGCCTCCCATAAAACCAGCCCTGGGAGCCCAGCCCTGCTAAGCTCTACCCACCAACAAGGGGACCTTCCGAGCCCACTGCTCGGCCAGAGCACTTCAGCACCTGGGAAATCCCTCTGGGGCTCCCCAGACGCCCAGGAGTGCCTGAAGGAGAGTCCCCGGTGGGAAAGTGACCAGGAACAGGGGCAGCGGAGTGGCTGCAGCGCCTGGGATGGCGGAGAATGAGAGGCAGGAGAGACGCAGGAAAGAGTTAAGAGTTCATGCTCCCCGCACACACATTTCAGTGGGAAAATCTTAAAGGAAGAGCCACTGGTATCAAAGGTGACACATGGGGGGACACATGTCACAGAGCAGGGGGAGGACAGGAAGCCACGGCTACGGAGTCTCGAGACCTCATGGGACAGTTGGGTGCTGACATCCTCTTCAGCATAGCTACCATTCATTAGGCCCTTTGCACACGTGACCTCTACACGTTACAACAGCCTTGAAGGGCAGGTAGAACTATCTCCGTTTACAGCATTTACCTGAGCTCCCAAGGTAAGGCTTGCCCAAGATTACAGGGCGTAAGTAGCAGAGGCAGAATCCAAACTCCCATCCATCTGGTTCCCAGCCTATACCCATGTTTCTCTGAAGCCACAATAGGGACCCCCCAGGAAGTCGCCCCTCTGTCTAGGTGTCTCTCCTGCAGTGCCCTGAGGATCTTTCCAACTCCAGTATCCTCTGCATCCATGGGACTCCCCAGAGGGCAGTAAGTGCATGAGATGGAGACAGCCTTGGGGTGGGGGGTGGGGGCGAGGGTGACGCAGTGGGTCTCACCTCCCCCGTTTTTGTAGCAGAGGTAGGGAAACCTCCAGACGTTGCCCAGCCCGACGATCTCCCCGGCCACGGACAGCACGAACTCCACCTTGTTGTTCCAGTGCCCCCGCTGCAGGGCGCCGGCCTCCCCCGCCTTTTCCATGCCTGGGCACACTGGTTTTGTCTCTCCATTACTGGTTGTGCTCGAGACCCTGCTATCCATTCCACCTGGAAAACAAACAGGGCGCTCCGTTACTGCTGGGAAGCCTGGAAGGAAAGCTGCCCCCTTCCTTCGCCAGGAACTTCCCGAGGGAATAGAGCCCTGGAAGAGATGAATCCTACTCCTGTCCACAGATCCACGTCCTTCTTAGCATCTCTTGCTGGTAAAGGCTGGGTAACAGCTGCCGATCCCTTTCATGTCAGGAAGAAAGTGCTGACCCTGAGCCAAGAAGGTTCCCTAGAAGGTTCCCTAGAAGGTTCCTTGGGTGGGGCTTGTGGACATGGGGTGTTCATGTGCCCCAGGTTGTCGGAGTTCTCCCTTCCACCCTACAGCCAGCTTCGTCTGCATTAGCATGTGCCTCAGTTTCTCCATTCCATGTACTGGGACAGTCACAAGGATAGGAGTTGAATGTATCCTCAAAGTCATGAATTTCCCTTTTGGGAATTTACCCTAAAGACATAATTGTGATGGTTGGTAAAGATTCAGCACTGAGGAAGTTCATTGTTTATAACAGTCAAATATTGGAAAGTATATAAAGGTTCAGAAATGGTAAATAGGTTAATAAATTAAGGCACGTACGATGCACTACTATAGAATCATGAAAAAATGTGTTGCAGAAGAAAGTGTAGTGAAATGAAAAGTTGTTCACAATGTGTAAAGTGAAAAGTTAGGAAATAGCGCACATGACATGATTTTGCTGGGAAAATACCTTATAACGCATTCGTGTGCATGAAGATTAGGACATCCGCCAGTGGATGGGCTATAGGCATGTTTTCCTTAGCTATATTTTCTACATTTTAATCGAAGAACATGTTTTATTTTGTAATAGGAAAATAAATGTCAGTATTTTTGGATCTCTGCAAGGGGGTGAGAGTGGTTGAGCGGGACCAAGCCCTCTGCGTAAGATGAGCTTACTTTTGGCCGCACATATGGCATGGGGGATCTCAGTTCCACGACCAGGGATCGAACCCGTGCCCCCATCCCCGACTGGGAGCACAGAGTCTTAACCACTGGACCACCAGGGAAGTCCCGAACTCTGGGCTCTTTTTCTTTTTTGGTGTTGGCCGGTGCACGACTCTATTAGTAGAGAAGGCAACGTAAAATGAATACAGAGCCGCAGTGCTACACCCTTCCCGGCCCTTTCCTAGACTCGTACTGGGATTGAGGATGCGATTGGATGTGGCCCACGTTCAGTGAACAGCTACCGTAGACTAAGTGCTTTACATACAGTTATTTCGTTCAATCCACACAGCTCTGAGATGTGAGCAGTATTCCCTCTGCTTTGTAAGCAGGAAGCTGCAGTTCAGAGAGGCTGGGTGACACGGGTGCAGCCGTGTGGCACAGCCGGAACCTGAGCCCACGCTGCCTTGCTTGTTCACTTACCTCCCGCAGTCATACTGGCTGGTGGGTTTAGCGTAAGCATCCCCGACTGTATACGGCGGCCCCCTCTCTGGAGAAGTGGGTACACGCACTTCTTTCTACTCCCTGAGAAAAGTTCGCATGGACACCATTTTCTCACAGGAGCCCCAACTGGCTACAGATTCTCCTGTGGCTCTGCCTTCCCAGCGGGGCTTCCCCGAGGGATCCAGAAAGTCTGAGGGAGGTCAGGAACATATTGCGTATTTGATAAATGAATGCACTTCAAAGACTGTGGGTTAAGAAGGAGAAACCCAAGCAGCTGGCCCTCAGAAGCTTCCCCAGTCCTTTTGAGAAGGTCTCCTCATGTCTTGTGCAGGTTCTGGGACTGATGGATGTCTTCCAATGATGGAAGATGTCTTCCATCTCCCTCACTTCTCCATTCCCCCAGACCCTAGAAGAACAGACCCCTAGGGACCCCTGGGTCCCTTAGCCACGCTGGGTACCAGTCCTCAGAGGCAGCATCGTGCAACTGAAGGACAAGCCTGGGTTCAAATCATAGCTCTGCACCAGAGACCACACGACTTCAAGGAAGTGAATTAATTACTCTGAGTCTCGGTTTGTTTGTCTGTAAAAGCGAGGGTGACGGGATACACTTAGCCATGAAGATTAAATGAGGATATATATATATATGTACTTCATAGTATAACAGGCACTCAAATTTTTATTTTCTTTTAATCCTGTCAAAAGTTTTATGTTCTTTCAACTTTCAATCTTGTCTCAGAAAAGAGCCTTGATTTTCTTAGAAGTAAACCCAAATGTCTTTCCTCTCCGTTTGGTCTCTTTCTCCAAATCACATTGGCCCTTAAATCAGCGGCCACTGAAGTTCCAGAAAGTCAAGACAATAGCATATAGTCTTTGCACATCACACATAAATGTCATAGTTTCCAGGAGAGGATCCCAAAACCCTTTGACTGTAGGTCCCGTGAATCCTACCCACCTACAGTCTGAGACCCAGAAGCAGGAGAAAAAGAGAAGAAAACAGCACCAACCTTAGCGTAGCTGCTACCAGAGGTCCTGTCAGAGGGGAGAAGAACTGTCCAGGGGGAAAGGGAGGTGCTGTCTATTTAAAGTGTGGTTCCCACTCCTCGGGCACTTGTAATTCTAAACTTGACCCCGCCCACATTCCGCCCTCCGTCCCCTGCTCCCCCCCCCTCCCCTCCGCTCCGCTCCGCTCTGCACAGACACTCAGACACACACACACACACACACACGCACACGTGCACACACGTGCACAAGCGCGCTTGCACTTACCTGCATATAGAAAAGTCTGAAGAAGTGTTCGCCGAACGGTTATTAGTGGCTGGCTACATTTGGAGAGTGGGGTTGGGGTCAGGAGAGGAAGTAAAGCTTTTTAAGCTTTAGTATTGTTTGAATTTTTAAATAATGTGCTAGAATTGATTTTTTAAATAATTGTCTCCACCAACACAGAAAAGGAAGTGCCAAGGTTCACAGCAAAGCAAAGTCCTACCCCCATCAGGGCACAAGAGCTGACAGATGGGGAAGAGGACAGCAGAGGGTGGAGTCATCTTAGCCCCAGCCTCACCAGGGCAGACGTGCAGAGTGCGTGGAGGCTGCTCGGGCTCCAAGGCCCAGTGGTCCAGGGTCTGGGTCCTGCTCCTATCCCTTCCCAGGCTGAGGCCGTGAACAAGGTGTCCAACTTCCAAGAGTCCTATTTTCTCACCTACAGAAAGAGGAGAAGCGAATGGACCTGGAGGTGATCATACTAAGTGAAGTAAGTCAGACAGAGAGAGACAAGTACCATAGGACATCACTTATATCCTAAATCTAAAATATGATACAAATGAACTTACCTACAAAACAGAAACAGACTCACAGACACAGAGAACAAACTTACAGTTACCAAAGGGGAAAGGGGAGAGGGAGGGATAAATTAGGAGTTTGGGATCAACATATACACACTACTATATATAAAATAGATAACCAACAAGGACCTACTGTATAGCACAGGGAACTCTACTCAATATCTTTTTTTTTAAGTGTTCTTTTTAAAAATTTTTAATTAATTAATTAATTAATTTGGTTGCGCCGGGTCTTAGTTGCGGCAGAGGGCTCCTTAGTTGTGGCACATGGGCTCCTTAGTTATGGCATGCGAACTCTTAGTTGCGGCATGCATGTGGGATCTAGTTCCCTGACCAGGGATCAAACCCAGGACCCCTGCATTGGGAGCATGGAGTCTTAACCACTGCACCACAAGAGAAGTCCCTCAATGTCTTGTAATAACCTATAATGGAAAAGAATCTGAAAAAGAATAGACACATATGTGTATGTACAGCCAAACTGCTTTGCTGTATACCTGAAATATTGTAAATCAACTATACTTCAATAAAAAATAAAAATTAAAAAAAAAAGAAAGAGGAGAATATTCCTTACCTTGCAAAGTTGTGGGAGGTTTCAGGAGATCTGAGTAAAGGGCCTAACACACAGCAAGCCCTGATTTACCCTTAAGAAAGTATTCACGGTGAGCGAGGAAGTTTCCTGAAGGGGACGGGATTGAGAGACCCCTGAGCAAAGCCGGCTCCTGCCAGACAGAAGGAATGAGTCAGGGGGTATGAGGGGTGACTGAGTGGGATCGTACAGATGTGCCAGGGAGGAGGGTAAATCAGAGACTCTAAGGCAGTTTCTATCCCTCTCATCCCCCATCCCCCATCTAGGGCGCAGAAGCACATCCTGAAAACACCCAAGGAGCCTCGTGGACATGATTATTCTTAACATTCCTGCCGCCCCTTCCCTCTCCCCACCACCATCCATCCGTCTAATTTAAGTGTGTAAAGCAATAGACAACAAGGGTTTCCTGAGAGAGGCTGCAAACTCATGCAAAAAAGCCCATCTTCAAAAGCAATTAACTTCCATCCTTACTTATCAGCGAGCCGTACTTACTAATGACCTGGCATTTGTAATCTAAAACTACCGGATAACTGAGGTTTACCGAGGTCTTCTGAGAAGCCGGATGCCGCGCAGCTGTTGGCGATGCTTCACAGCCCTCCTGTGTCCTGATGCAGGGGAGCCTCTGGGATCCCAGTGTCCAGGATCAGTGGGGTAAGTCTGAGTCAGTTCTGAGTTGCTGCTCCTGTACTAGGCAATGTCTGGTTTTTCTTGTTGATCCTATTATTTTTGCATAACTGCTGTCATGTTACCATGTTGATTGCTACTTCGTTCCTCTCCAAAGCTTTATTCCTCTCCAATTTCTTTTTCTCTATAAAGCAGGAGCTATGCGGTAGGTCTTTTGCCCTGCCTAGGCTGACTAAGTTTAAAGAAGTGTGAGAACCCTGATAGATGAGCACGCACGACAGCTCCTCACAACTCTGTCTGGGGTCGAGCACAAGTCTGGCAGGACAAGCCTTGTCTCCCTCGGGTCACTAGCATCTTTGGGTCTCCTGGGTGCAGGGTCCGGGAACTGGAAACAGTGCTAGAATTAGCGTTCAAGGCTCCCTTCTCAAGAGGCTGCTAAGTTTCAAGACGCACTTGAGATCGTTAGTGAGGGTGACTGGAGTCTGTCCTCCCAGAGCAGTAACTACGAAACAAGGCGGACCCTGGAGAAGCAGACTAGGAGGTCTTGGTTTCTATCAAATTGACCCTGGGTTGTTTTTGTTCTTGTTTTTGTTTGTTTGTTTGGGTTTTTTTTTGCGGTACGCGGGCCTCTCGCTGTTGTGGCCTCTCCCGCTGCGGAGCACAGGCTCCGGACGCGCAGGCTCAGCGGCCATGGCTCACGGGCCCAGCGGCTCCGCGGCATGTGGGATCTTCCTGGACCGGGGCACGAACCCGCGTCCCCTGCATCGGCAGGCGGACTCTCAACCACTGCGCCACCAGGGAAGCCCGACCCTGGGTTTTTTAGATGCCAACATGCCATGATCTAGTCTCCCAACAATTTTTTTGGTCTCTCCTAGGAGTGAAACAAGAGCAAATACATTTTCAAAGGAACTTGATTCGTTTCAGAAAGGATATTTCCGAGCAGCATTGGTTTCAACATTGGAATGGGTTGGCCAAGGGAGTGGCCTGTGGGGGCGGTCCTCTCCTCGGGAGATCCTGTAAATTAATGGGCATAGTTTCGTTTAACCACAGGGGTGAGGGACCTTTCTGATCCCTGTTGACCTTTTTAATCTCTTTTCAAAGATCACACCAAAAAGGAAGAAAGGAGCAAGTGGAATGAACTAAACAACAAATCATGGTTTGCTAAAACTGGAACAGTTTGAGCAAAAAAGTGAAGGACGATGGTCCTGAATTATAACCCCAAAGAATAAAATACATTCACGAGTTCACACTAACGTAACTAAATAATCCATTAAATAAATAAATGGGGGAGGAAGGCCAGCCCTTCCGTACAGTGGAATTCCAACTAATAAATGCAGAAGGAAAGAGAGAAATTGAAAATCAGCCCTAGACAAATATCACCATGATAACTGTTGTAGACAAGATCCACCAACGAATGCTAAAATCAGTGGGTAAAAGTTTGAGAGGGACAGAGTTTACACAGTTCCAAAGTATTTCCCCCAAGATATTTATTAACTACAAGGAAAGACAGGAACTTCACAGTAGAGAAAGCAGAACGCAGTAGAGGTGGCAGAAGCCACCTGAACTGAGTGACCGAGGTAACAAGACATCCGTATCCACATCCTGAACCGTGTGAGGCAATTACTAAGAAGGACACAACGTTTCTGTGGTATTCTTGCCAAAAAAGTACTTCACTCATGAGAAAACATAAGACAAACCCAAAGTGAGGGACATTGGGCAAAATAACTGACCACTAACTCTTCAGGACAGGGGACTAAGGGGAAATTACAGCTGAGTGCAGCGTGGGTCCTGGGTGGAGTCCTGGATGGGATGCCAGAACAGAGAGGCATGTCGACGTAAAGAGGTCTTAAGTTTAGTTGAATCATACTCTACCGGTGGTAATATCCTGACAAACGACGCAATAGTTACGTGATTTGTTAACACGAGGGGAAGATGGGTGGTGGGTGTATGGAAACTCTCTGTACTATTTTTGCAACGTTTCTGTAAGTCCGGAATTAACTGAAAAGAAAACTTTTTTAAAAAGATGATGTGGTCCTGACTGTTGTCCTGCCAAGTCCTTGCCTCTGCTGTGAAAAGCTTTGATGTCACGCTCGGGAACCATGGCTGTTACCGTGATGTGTTCGCTTGTGCTGTATTTGATTCCAGATAGGACAATTAGCCTAAAGTCTATAAGCCCAAGTCTTAAATAAAACTCATGACACCGAACGTTAATAACATCAATCGTCACCATGACTAATGTCTCCTGAGCACCTCCGAGGTGCCAGGCGCTGTGCCCAGTGCTACGTATCCACGCACCATCCCATCTTATCCTCAGAACAAGCCTGTGAAACGGGGATTGCCATTATGGCCATCTTAAAGATGAGAAAACATAGGCTTAGAGAGAATTAAATGACTTGCTGAGGGTCACACAACTTAGAAAACGGTAGAGCCAGAATTTGCACTCAGGCTTGTAGGATTCTGAAGTCCATTACTTCTACCTACCATGCTCCACGCTACACTTTAACCCCAGGGGGAGAAAGACAAGAATAAAGGTTAAGAAGAACAGCTCCGGCAGTGTTTGTTTGGCCTACGGCTGCCCCCTGGGATGAAACATACTTTCTTAGGATAGAAGTGAATAATGAAATGACAAGAAAAATGTTGTTTTCACTGAAAACTTCATCAGATCTGAAGAATATTCTTAAAATCTAATGAGAAGACTCGTTGCAATCCCAATGTGTTCTGCAATCTTCCCCCACCACTCCGCACGCCTATCGAGGGAAGGAAATCATACCTTTTCTCTTTAACTCCAGAAAATTAATTGTAGTTCTTTTCCAATCGCATCCAGTTTCTTCTAATCCTGTTACCTTGACTTCTTGCCTGATTCTCAGGGCACAGAGAGAGGAGAGTTTGCAACGTTTATGTCACTAATCCCGGCAGGAAGCTTGTGGCTGATGAACCGTTGGCCATCAGGGTAAATGCGGTCTACAAGCCCAGAGCTCTGGCGAGGGATTAGGGCCAGGTGACAGCATGTTACGATTCATGCTTGAAAACATCAATAGTTGGGGGTCTTTTATCCTAAACGTTTTTAAACACCACTGCGGGAGTTTGCGACGGGCAAGACATATGTTGATGCCTG